GTTTCCTTTATTTTGATTTACCTTTCGTAAAGTTGAAATAATAAAAAAAAATATATAAATTTAGGACAATATAAATAATTCTTTCAGTGACATTTCAATTGACTTTTAATTAGTTACTTAGCAACGATCAATAAGAACTCCTACCTTTCTCGCTTTATTTCATACATAATTCTTACTTTACAATAAATTTATAGGTGACAAAGAAGAAAGTTGTAACAAAGTAATTGAATAATCAGGTTTTTTGCCACATATAATTTAGCTCAAATATTAAAAACAACGCGATTTAAGGACTAAAACATTCTGATATTAACGATGTAATGTTCAAATTCAGGACGAAATCAATTAAATTTTCCGTGACATTTCCATTAAAATTGAATTGGTTTCCTTTATTTTGATGTATCTTTCGTAAAGTTGAAGTAATAAAAAAAATACACAAATTTAGGACAATATAAATGATTCTTTCAGTGACATTTCAATTTATTTTTAATTGATAACTTAGCAACGATCAATAACAACTCTATCTTTCTCGCTTTATTTCATACAGAATTCTTACTTTACTTTTCACAAAAAATAGAGAAAAAAGTTGTAACAACGTAAATAATAATTGTAAGTAATTGAATAATCGTGTTTATTTTTTTCTCTCTCTTTTGATTGCCATTCCAAGCGCATTTTTTATTTTCATTTTTGTGTTCGAGTGTCCTTGCGTTTCCGTTTCTCATCGAGTTTCAAACGGTACTGAATATATGGATTTCCTGCAATTGAAACCTAAAGAAAAATATGTACAGTTCTTTCCCTCCGTCTTTTTATACGGACTTTCCATCGACGGATGCTGCTTTTAAAAATAAATTTATATTACTCCTTCGTGCTCTTAAGAAGTTCACTTCTGTATGTTTACGTTTACATTTGAAGAAATATCGATTTGAGAGGAAGAAATTCACACAATTTATATGTGCTTTTAAGAAGTTCAGTTTTTTTTCTATGTTCAAATTTATTTTCGTGGTAATAAAATAAAGATTTGAGAAGAAGAGAAAATTTTTCAAGCTTTGTAGAAAAGTTTATATTTTCGTAGTAAAGAAATGTCGATTTTGAGAAGAAATTATTTACAGAATTTATATTACTTCTTTTATATTTTCATCAGAATAGTGAAGAAATGTTATCGATTGAGAGGAAGAAATTTACACACAATCGAATGATTTTCTACCGCGAACAGCTGTGCGCGTTTTATGCAAAGATTGCGATCGCAACAAAAGATCCTCTGGTCGCAATTTACATTTCGTGGATCGCTCAGTCTTTGTCCTAAGACAACTTGAAGCAAATAATTCTAAGTCCATTACATTTAAAAAAGTTTATTACAAATTAATTTCATATTGTTTTTTAAACTATATACTTTTTTTTACATTTTAAGTTTACTTGTAGTAATATGAATCTGATGAGTAAAATTGTTAAAAATGCTTTACACATAATTTCCCATTCATACAAACCTTAAAATTTGTAGAAAAACATTTTCTTAAGACGAAATACGTTAACTTTATTTGAATTTATATCGATTTACAATTTAATTTGAAAAAAACTTTAGAGAATTGTAGAGAAATAAAGCTATTAATCGATTTGTGGAAGGCCACGGTCATGAACCGCTTTTGTCTGGCTTTCGCTGCTCAATAAATGAGTTTGTTTCTCTGCGACACAAAGGACGAATTGACCGTTTTGAGTGTAGTAACCCCCCTTCAGAAAGGGAACAGAAAACTCTTAGGAGACAGACGGACTTTATCTGAACATCAGAAAATGCAAGTTTAAACTCGTCTATTGACACAAAGAAGGTATAAATACACTTATAATATGCTCCTCCTCCGGAGACATCATTACCTTTTGTTACGCTCACTTATCTTCTTGATGGTTTGCCAAAAAATAATTTGATTTTATCTACCAACTAATTATGTCATAAATTTTAGTTTTCTTTAATATTTTTTTATTTCATACGTTTTGTAGAAAAATAGATTTTCCACGAATCCAGCGATTCTCAAACTGTGGGTCGCGAAATGACAGCTGTCAAAGTGTCACAATTTTGTATTATAAACAATTGAGTCTTGGTACAACTGCAAACAATAGTGTTCATAATTATTGAGAAATTAACGAAAACGTATATTCAGTCTTATTCACACACTTTTATTGTATAATCTCATTTTTGACAAGGAATTTCTGGACATTGAAAACAGATGCAGCTATGAGTTTACGATCATTTTATTTGATATAGTTTTAGCTCCAACTTGCATACTTAATATTGTAAATGACTTTTATAACTATTGAGAAATTAACGAAAATGTAAGGACATTACAATTCAAACTTTTAATTTTATAATCTCATCTTTGACAACGAATTACTGGACATTGAAAACAGATACAGCTTTGAGCTTACGATCATTTCATTTGATATAGTTTTATCTCCAACTTGCATACTTAATATTGTAAATGACTTTTATGACTATTAAGAAAATAACGAAAATGTAAGGACACTACAAATCTCAAACTTATAATTTTATAACCTCATCTTCGACAACGAATTACAAGATATTGAAAACTAATACAGCTTTGTACTTATGATTATTTTATTTGGTGTAGTTTCAGCTTTAATTTGCATGTTTAATATTATAAATAAGACTGATGATTATCGAGGAATCAACAAAAATTTATGAATGCGCTTAAAATTTACTAAATGTCACAATTTTGTATTATAAACAATTGAGTCTTGGTACAACCTGGATCGCAAAATGGTGAAAAAACGCTGCTTTTAACAACATTTAAATTCCTATTTTTATTGTTGAACCTGACCTAAGACTTTCACAGCAAAACGTCCTCGATTTTAATACTAAAATCTGTTTGCTTTTTATGATAAACTTTGTTCAAATGTCATTACCACATACAAAAAAAAAACTATACAATTTCAAGCTAAATATAGTAATGTTTTAATCTATTGAATAATACTTAATTTGCATTGTTAAAAATGAATATGAAATTCACAATTTGCATTTATATTGCATAAATCATACAAAATTATCCAACTTTTTTTTTCATTTCTGAAGAATAAACAGTAAATTTTCACTTAATATTTATTATCAACGTTTTTATTGTAATTTTGAAAATATTTTGTTATTTCAATTAATTTTCTGATTATTGTCTCATGATTATTACGTAACAAAAATATTGTTTTAAAGTTCTTTTTTCTTGTTACAACAGTAATCCATAGGTAATAGTGATATTTCCAAGGAAACCATATCGAATAACACACAATGTTACAACAAGTAATTCACATACACATCCGATTTGTGTATTATAGCAACGACCTTAACTGCTTTATAAATACACGCAATATTGATTTCTGTTATTAAGGTTTCTTTTAGCAAACAAACAAATAATACGAGAAGAAAAAAAGTACGTCTCTTCGTCGCGTCGTGTGCTAATAATTACGTTCCCGGAACGAGTGTGAATATCCCGTCGTGAGACTAATTGAACATTGTTTAATTTGGAAGACTTATTCTGTTACTTTATTACTTTTCAAATGCTAAACAAAATAATTAAATACTTTAGCAGTTAATAATGGAAATTGTTTTTTACATACCTCAACTTTGTCTGAAAATTACTAGAAATTCCATAGAGACACACCTAAATATTATCATTTTATTTCATATAGTTTTCTCTTTAATTTTCTTCTACAATATTATAAATAATGTTCATAATTATTGAGAAATTAACGAAAACGTATATTCTGCCTTATTCACATAAAAGTGTGTTGTATAACCTCATTTTTGACAAAGAATTTCTGGACATTGAAATCAGATACAGCTTTGAGCTTATGATCTTTTTATTTGTCATAGTTTTACCCTCAACTTGCATTCTTAATATTATAAATGACTTTTTTGACTATTGAGAAATTAAGGAAAATGTAAGGACACTACAATTCGCAAACTTATAATTTTATAACCTCATATTTGACAACGAATTACTGAACATTGAAAACAGTTACAGCTTTGAGCTTACGATCATTTTATTTGATATAGTTTTATCTCCAACTTGCATACTTAATATTATAAATGACTTTTATGACTATTGAGAAATTAAGGAAAATGTAAGGAAACTACAATTCGCAAACTTATAATTTTATAACCTCATCTTTGACAACGAATTACTGGACATTGAAAACAAATGCAGCTTTGTACTTATGATTATTTTATTTCCTGTAGTTTCAGCTTTAATTTGCATGTTTAATATTATAAATAAGACTGATGATTATCGAGGAATCAACAAAAATCTATCAATACGCTTAAAATTTACTGTAAATTCATAACGTAATTATAAATTTATAAATTATATGACACGATAATTTCATTATAAATGCGAAATTGATGTAACCTTTGAACGATGCAAATAAAATGATTGCTTAGAAACTGCGACCAACAATATTATTTAACGCGATTCCATGGTAACGCTCATTAATTACCCTCAATTAGCATAGTTAAAAGTGAAACGAGGCGTCACTGCATCGTTTGCATTAACAACAAAAGTGAAACAATTAAAATAGGAAAACAATGCAATGCATTGTCGAACGGAATGGATGCACTCATTCAATATCTAAGTTATTTAACTTTAGATATTGCATGAAAGTCCATTCCAACTGTTGTCGTTTTCGATTCAATTTGATTCGTGTCGTTGGTGCGCGCGCGAGAACAAGAAACTTGTTCGAAATGCATACGGCACGAATCGAAATGCAATAAATAGATGCCATCACGTCCTCCTTCACCTGATATAAATAAATCGAGATGGGCGATTCTTTCTGTTCTCCGCAGCAGGAATTTTTTGTTTCAAGAATTATGCAATTTCGAAATTAATAGCGTTCATAGCAATAATAGCAGCAGTAGCAGCAGCAACCTTCGAGTGAGAGTCCACCGATGTTTCCAGCGAATTTCGTATTACTTCATCGTTCTGCTATTTATATTTATACATATATGTACGACGTCGACGACTGCAGATCGGCCGACGCGAAAAACCAACAATAATAACAGAATGTTTACGGAACGAGATTAGTTCATTAGGAGGCGATCATAACTGGATGTGTGATTATTACTCGAGTGCTATTTTAAGGCACCGACCGGGATTGAGATTAAGCATGTGCGTGTACTTGTTTTGGTTAACTATATAGTAATTAGTGCACAGAGTTTCCTGCTTCTTTTTTTTTTCTTCTTGCTAATACATGTTGCTTCTTTTTTTTCTCTTTCGGTGTATGTTTGCGTGTTTACGTTATCCGATGAACACATGCTCGAGCTGAAAGTTATTGTTGTTTGTTGCTTTCTTTGCAGATCCGTTGAGCGATGTCGGGCTTGACGTTGTCCAGCAGCTCCGGAGGGCCGACGACAGGTGTACCGAAAGGTGCAGTGGAGTTCACTGAAAGTTCTGGTAGAGCTCTGAAGTTGCAGACCGATGGACCGCACCTGGTCAGCATGGGTGGGGACAGGCTCAGCACCGCGGTCACTCTGCATCCCTTACCTTCAGGTAAACCTACAAATCTGCCGGCAGCAACTATTCACAATAAAAATCGTAACAGTTATAACTACACTTTCTATGGTCGCTGAGTGGTGTAAAAGTGCGTTTACTGCTGCATCAAGTTGTATGGGATTATAAACAGGGGTAGGACAAATACAGATATTTTTACATTCCTTCAATTTACAGAAAACTCTGCAAGTTGTAAAAGTAACGTGTTGTTTTTATTATCATTACTTCAAAGTATTTACACTGTCAAACTTTTTTTTTCTTTTCAAACTACTCAAATTATTTATATTTACATTGGTAATAATAATATTGATTTCCATTCTTGAGAAATTCAATTGTAAACATTTCGAAAATCATGAATTCTTCTGTTATTTTATACAAAATTATTCCAATTTTTGTATAGCATAGCATTGCAACTGTCATTAGTAACTTAGCAACCACAGAGCGTCCTTAGCAATAGCGGTACCGTCTTTAGTAACAAGGATAACGTTCTTAGTAACTTAGCAACAACGAATAATTTCTTGTTTTAATGAAAACTTAATTGAGAATTATAACCACAAATAAATTTACAATATCTTAGATTAAAGTTCAGTTTAAAAGATAATATCTTGAGTAAAATAAATTTCTACAGACTTTGAAATAATTTTGCAATCATCTGGTTTTTTGTAAAATGCTTCGATTTCCTCCTTTCAAAAATCAACAAGGATGATTCAATAGAATTGAATAACCGCAACAATTGTCTTCAGTAATCTATGCTTCATGAATATACGAAAAAATATGCCAATTCATTCGAATTGATTTTTCTTGTATTTTCATTCAATAAAATTTTCTCATTTCCCAATAACGGTTACTTAATATATCTTTGCTATTATTCAAATTGTTAATTAAAATTATTTCAGTGCAATTCATTGGATTTTTCTAATTAATTCTTTACTTGTAAATACTTCTGGTTTCTTACATTTAAAATCGGCAACCCAATTAACAATTGTTAATATATTCTAAGAAATATATTCTAAGAATTTCGTGTCTTTCGTTTATTATGAGGAATAAATTGGATTAATTCAGTAATTAATCTCAAAAATAATTCTTTATAATCATTTCAAAGATGATAAGATTGTTTATAAATGTTGCTGTAGTTAATATTAAGTTTACTCATATTTATCATAATTTGTTATGTGTTAATATTATTGAAATCTATAATGATCTGTTACCTAGACAACAGTAATTTAATAATGTAATAACTGCTTGTAACTGAAGAGCTTCCGAGAGTAGAAATCACTTAAGCTCTTCGGAAAGGAAGGAACCCCTTCGATAAGAAGTGGAGGAGGCCAGGAAGTGCTTTTCAAAAACAAGTAGACGTTAAGGAGGAAGGACAAGTTGTTAATTAGTAAAATACAAATTGTGAGTCGGTCGTAGGTGTTTTCGTGTGTATATATTTATAAATATGCCTATGTACGTTTCTAAATTTAAAACGTTCGCATTACTCTAAATCCGGTGCTCGTTGTGTTACGCCAAGTGAAGGGGGAAATTAATGAAGAAGCAAAAAAAAAAGATGAGTTTGAAGTTGTGGTGGTGTAGTAGCAGCATGGAAGAGCGGAAGATGAAAAGCCGCATGCGGTGGAGTCCGAAAAAACATTACCGAATCTATATTAGAATATGAGTGCAGCAGATGAGAGGAAGAGTAAAACACGAAGCGAAATGAAATGAAGAAAGCGAGAGGACAGGAAACGACGCAAAGGAAAAGAGCGTTTGGGCATTAATTTAGCCTGCGGTAATTAAGTTCGTCTTGGACTCATTGTCGGGCATATTTTTAGTGCGCGCCCGCCGATGATCATCATTATCATGACCGTCTATGTTGTGTGCGTGCGGAGGTTCAGGTTCAACAAGACAAACTGTCTCGGATGATGCATTATTTTAGGCACCTGAATGAAGACGGATATAGATTTTTGGAACGTAGCTCTTGTAGTCTCTTGTATTTAATACAATTTATATGTACCTCAGGGACAACCGACAAACAAATCACAATTAGGGTAAAGTTTTGCTGATTCGATTTATATACATTTTTTTTTCTGAATGGAATGAGAATGCGTACGTTGCAGGCAGGGGGATTCCATTTAAGTCACCACTACTCACTCGCACGATATTGTCTGGGGTCATGACTCATTCGAAACGTTTTTCCCTCCATCCAACTACACCATACAACAATGGGTCCGTCTCTATTTTCCCCAAATAGCTGTTGTATTTGAACGCATTGAATTCATCGCGTATTATAAATAGATTCGCATCCGCTTTTACAAACAAATGGTTGAATTAGATTTTGTGCTTCGCATTTGAGCCACAACGTACACGTACGTACGAAGGCTCAAATGAAATAGATAATTTGCAATTCTGAAATTAGTTTTTAGTCCGGTTCCCAGAAACTCGACCGTTTGTAAACATCATTTAATCGTTCTTCTCGCTATATCCAGATGACTCAATCATCATAACACTTTTACCATTATTTATATTATATACATTTCAAATTCACATCTGGATTGAATCATAATTAGACATTTAACATATTTATATCAATGTTAAATTTTAAGTATTTTAAGTAATTTAAGATAAAAATTATTTTGTGTAGAAACAATGAAAGTCATCATAGACATATTGATATAAATTGTTGAAAATATATTTTTTTAGTTTTATTAATCCTTTGAAATATGTAAATAGAAACAAAATGCACGATTCTAATCGTTATATGAATTCATATTTAATTACAAGTTGTTTATTGACATTTCATTGTTTATTAATTACAAAGAACAATTGAATAGACAGGCATAAGCGATTATGTTGACATATTGTTTTTTTTAATTTTCATTTTATTATTTTAATTAATTGCATGTAAAAATGTAAAAACATGAAAATTATAATCAAAAAATTAATTTAAAATTATTTTTTCTCTATTTATTAAACAATTGCAAGAAACAAATGAACGGACAAAAAGTAATTAAATTACAAGTTGATTTTTGCAAATTTAATTTTGTATTGTTTATTATTTCCTTTATTACAAAATTGAACATTCAAAATTATAAAGTAACAAAATTCCATTAAATCAAATGTTTTTAAAAAACTATTCAATATAACATGAACATTCACTCATCTTATATTAGAATTCGCTGTTGTATATAAACAACATGAAAGATAATTAATCCAGGTGTTTTCTTTTTGTCTAAAACTTAATACTTCTCTTCGTAAACGATCTCTTCTCACGTCCGGTAATTACGCACAAAAGTAGATTGGATAAGGTGATTAAATGGGATAGCGGCTTACGTTCATCATCCTCTCTAGATTGTTTTTTTTTCTTCTTCAACTTCTTATTCGTGTCTTCCTCGCGCCCCAACACTTCAAAAGAAAACGATTGAAGAGTGCCGCTGTTGCGGATGACTCTTGGATATAAATAAAGCGAGGTTTGATGCTGCCTGCCATTTCGACCAGATCGAATCTCATCATCGTTTATTTAAAGATCTTCGATGCGTTTTGCCTCTCATTATTACCTAATTATCGCAGTCATCATTTCATAATGGTAGTAATTTTTCAAGTTCATTAGAACACGATTGTTTAATAATAATAATAAAAAATGAATCTACTTTTACATTTTAAATATGGAAACATTTTGTTTTTAATTGTTTATTGACAAAGTATGAAAGTCTTATATAAGTTAAGTAAAGTGTTGCATAAATTTATAATTAAATAAAAAACTAGAATCTAGTTTGTGTACGCCAATCTAAATATTGACAGTTTTGAAGAACTCTCGTCGTTTATTCTCATCGCATCTTTGATGTTTTGCTTATCGTTATTAACTAATTATCACTGTCATTATTAAATAATTGTGATGTCGCCTAGAAGACGATTGTTAATTACAAAAATAAAATCTAGTTTGTTTGCGTCAAAATGGATGTGGATATGTTGTTGACAGTTTTTAACTAACTTTAACAATGGAAGTTAAGTTAATTGGAAATATTACAAAATTGGTTCACTTTATTAATTAATGATTAATATAATGATTTTATATAGATTAATAATTGTTAATTATGTTAATAGTGATATAATCAAAACAGATATTAATGTTGATTGATATATCTAGGTTTGAAACTTTCTGTCAAAATTGAATGTACTTGAAGAGTGGGAGGTAGCAATAAAGTGAATACCTGCTAGAGGTATGCCTGTAAACTTATCGTTTATTGGAGGGGATACTATTATTTCCACGAAGGGTTGCGTTTTCGAGATTTCAATGCTCACTATTGGTACTTGTTTCAGGTATAATCACTTTAGGTAGCAGTCCAAAAGTGGATATAAATGTGCAAGGAACGGGCGTGCTGCCAGTGCATTGCCACATCGAGAACGTTGAGGGTGTAGTGACCATTTACCCGACTTCAGGACAAGTTTGCATCGATGGTGTTGCAACAGCTGAGCCATCTAGATTAACGCAAGGTATACTATTATCGATACTATTATTTCAAACGTAAAATAATGTACGTTGTTTCTGTTTCAAGGTGTTATTCTGACGATAGGACGTTCGAATTACATGCGATTCAATCATCCGGCCGAAGCGAAATTGATGAAATCGGTGCTTCCGAACTCCCGGATATCTATGGCCCCATTTCCATTCGATAACGTGATGTACCTGCAGAAGCAGTCCAACAAAAAGCCTCCGGTGGCGCCGAGGAGGAGTCCCCGAGAATCTATGTCCGATGAGGAACCTCCATCCAACATCATGACGAAGGTGTCGAAATTCGAATACTTAGCAGCTCAGAACTTCAGGAAGAGCATCTCGCCGAAAGTGTTTTCCGCCAATTTAGTTACAGTGAATACTCCAGCTAAAGACGTGCTCGGGAAGGCGCCTCCGGATTTGCACAATTTCGCAAAGAACATTTCGCAACCGGCTGTGAATTACTCGGATTCGGGATTCGAGGAGAAACAGAAGAACAAGACGCCCGATAGGCAGATCTTCGGCTGCAAGTCTCCCGCGTACGTGAACGTCGCTATAAACGAGGGCAAGAGCATAAACAACAAGGTGGTTCTGTTCGAGAATGGAAGCGCGCCCAAACCGCAGAATATTAATCACGAGCAACCGCACGAGTTGAACAACATCACGAGGAACTACAATCCTTCGACGACTCCGACACACAAGAACACCAATGTCAGCCACGGTCTGAACAAACCGCATTGCAGGAGTGTCACACCTACGTCGAGCGGCGATAGAACGGATCAGCAGAGGTTGAGTGGATCTCTCGGCGATCTTACCGCAAACAATTTTGAGAGTCTGGCGGTGCGGAAGAATGAGGCGGAAATCAGGAGGAATCAAGTGAGTTTTACGATTACTCTGATTATATGAGGTCAATCAAATGTTATCGTTAATAACAAATGTTTCAGGCGCAAGTGGATAGGATTAAGGAGCAGGAAATCGAGAAGGCGGAGCAGGTGAGGTTGGAGGAGATACTGAACATGTGCGCAGAGTACGACAAACAAGTACAGTGCGAGAAGTCGATGAAGCCGACACCGAATAGGTAAATAGAAATATTCTTATCTGGTTATCATCATCATAGTTTACACACGTTGACTAATCGTAACCGTTATATATATATATATATATTACATATATTTTGTTTTGCAATGTGTTTGAATCAGGATAAAAACGAACGGTTCACTGCCAAGAGATAAACGTACTTGCATTTCGCCTAATCTGCTGAGCTCGCCGGGCGGTGGATCGCCTTTACACAGCAGCTCTCCCAGCCAATCTAAAGACAATACAGTCTTCAAATTCGAGGTGGATAAACCGAACAATCACTCGTACGAGAACGTTTCCATCAACCACAATCACCAGGTGTATTACGAAACCGTCGAGATTCGTAAGCACAATATCGGGGAGGAAGGAAAGAATTGCATGAGCACCTACGAGAACGTCTCCATCAGCAACAACGGAATTCCGCATTTCCCGCAATCCCCGAGGACCAGAATCAAGACGTTCGTCACTACGAATAAAGAAAGGTGAGATTCAATTATACCGCAGAACCGTGTCCATATCTCTCGTCTAATGCCGATTACGTGAGCTGTACTCTCTTTAAATGCAGTCACTTCCTTTTCCTGATTTATTACCTTGATAAATTCACAAACGTAATAACTCAAAGCTTCTAATTAATTACACATTATAATATTGTATTATCTTAATTGAAACGAAATTTTATAAACTTAAGTCGGTTTTATAGATTAACAGTCAATACACATGAAGCCTATCTTAATATTTCCTGGAGAAAGCTATTATAATCTCTTCTATGCTCTCAATTAGTGTACATTTTTATTGGTATTATATCATGCAGCAACTGCAGTCTTTTCAATTAATTGAATACAATTATTGCTTCTACAAAGTATAAAGAAAACATAGATATAATATATCGAAAATGTAATATGATTTTATTTGTTGTTTTTTTTTTCAGTCCAACAAAGTATGAACTATTGGATAGAAATGAGCAGAACAGAGATCTAAGCAACAAACATCTGGACTCGACTTCGAATTTCAAATCGAAAACGCTGCCTCCGAAATTCATTTTGGCGATGAAAGAAGAGAAGGATTACATCCTTCAATTGGAAAACTACGAGAATCTCACGCTGAACAACCACAGCGCCAGCCTCTCGAATAATTTAAATGTTTCACAGGAAATAGGAAGCAATGACATGATTGGTCGTATCGATAGGGATGCAAATGTCCAGAAGATACAAGCGTTGCGTTCGGACCGAAAAGAGAAGTTGAACGCGATCACCAGTCTTAAGAGACAAATGGCCGAGATCGAGAGTCACGGAGAGGAATTGTGCCGAGAGGTATTTATACAATTATAAATTATGGTTAACAGTTTAAAAAACATTTTTTGTTTTTCTATTATTCGTTTAGCTCGAATTGGAGAAGGCTTTAATAGTGGGTGAATATAAATCCAAAGAGTTGGAGATCGAGAAATTGGAGCTGCGCAAAGAGCAGTTGATGAAGCGCGCTTTACGCTTAGACGAAAAGATGAATGAAAGTCAGGTGATTCAGGAGGAGGACCAAAAGATGTGCAAGGAAAAGTTGTTGGATGCTCAAGAGAATTTAAGCACTATAGAGCTTAAGCTTTCAATATTACCTAAAAGCACTCCCGATTACGACACCACCTTCGATGAGCTTCTCTTAGCTCAGGAGGTCCTCGATACGGAACGGAAGACCTTCGAAGACCTGGAGTTCCATCATTTGGAGGAGGAAGCGGATTGGCTGGCGAGTCGCGAGGAAATCCAAAGGGAAATCCTGGAATTAACCAAACGCATAGACGAATTGTCGCACCAGATAAACGATTTGGATAAGGAGAAGACTGTAACGACGAACGTGAACGCTAAGGAGTACAAAAAGATCGAAGAGAAGAGGCTGGACTTCTCGAGGAAGATCGAGGAGATCCGCAATCAAATTAAAATTATAGATGCAGAGCTCAGCGCGCTGAACAACAAAGAGTCTGACGATGAGGTGTCGACGGACAGCGACAGTGATAAAACGAAGGACACCTCCGAGGGGCGATTGCTCTCCGATTCTTCTCTGAACCAAATAAGCGATCTGAGCTGCTCGTACATCATAAGCAGCACGAAACTCATCGAGGAAGACTTCAACATGTCGCAATCGTTCAACGAGAAATTGTTCATGGACAAGTCGGTTTTGGACGATGGTTTAGGTACGTTTTATCACTTTTAATCTCCTCCGAACTGTTTACTTAACGATTGCCTTTTTAACACGCAGGTAAAAAAATCCCTAGTCAAGACGATATCGATCGCATCAGCAAAATCACCATAGATGCTCCCATTAATATGGTGGAGGATAGTAGAGGATCGCTGGGCAGGAAGACCATCGAGTCTCTTAAAGAGATTGAAAGAAACAGGCAGTTACATTTAGTCCAACAAGGTACGTGTCTTACTGTATTAACGCTACTTTCCAATTAGCGCGTAACCAACTTTTTGTGATAACACTAATTTGTTAATATGATAATTTCAGGCTCTCAAGTGATAGAAAACGAAAGACGGAGAGTATTAGCACTTAAGCAGAAAGTACAAAACGAGGTTCGCTCGAAATGGGCGCAGAGGAAGCAAGATTGCCTATCCTACAACTCCACCGGTTCAGATGAAACTCCAAATGAGTAAGTTTTGTTTGTAATCTTCAATACTAAAGTCATACCATTATCAAATGTAACTGAAAATTCAACTTCCCTTTGTCTCGATATGACACATAGAACCTTGATTCGGGATGAATAATAACAGTATTGTTAATTATTTCGAACTTCATACATTACAACAAAAAATCTCAAATTTAGTTTATATTCTGTAAGTATGCATTTTTCCTTAAAGTTAATAACGATTAGGAAACAAGTTTATTAACTATCAATAAATAAATAATTACATATATTATACAACCAATTTTTTTTCTTATCTCTCAAATTTAATACATATAAAAATTCCATTCAATGATTCTTCAATAAACAAATTAATTATATTACAAATTTATAAGAATTTAACAAAATATAGTTGATTAAAGTAAATTTTAAAAATGTAGCAATGATATGTATGAGTGTAAAGTTCACCAAAAACACACTTTAAGGATGCAAAAGCACGACGTTATTAACAATTTCTATTCTCGTACCTAAGTAAACCTAAGCTTGACTTGCCAAAAACACAGCTTAGCAACAAAAAAAACGAGTTTATAAACAAACACAATATTTAGAATTAGAATGCGTTTTGAGAGCCTCAGAGTTTATGATTAATAAAATACGCCGGGATTACGTGACTCTCACACGTAAATATATAACCTTTTTCATCCGGATTTTCCCGTTCATCAAAAAAAGAACGCACACTTTCTAAACAGCTTGAAAAATGTAGCTTATTACCGCCAAAATCACAGCACGTTTTCTTATTTATTGCATTTTCATTCAAAATAATTTCCTGAAATTGTTTGATTGTGTAATAATCTCATTTCTTTAGCATCAGATTCTAAATACAGGAAGTACCTTGACCTATAAAGTCATCGATGCCCTGTATTCCTTTCCTTTTTAGAAACAATGTGACCTTGTCCATGTGAAATATCTAAATATTATATATATAAAAACACTTTTAAAAATAGAACTAAATCGCGTGAAATAGTTTAAACATTTATCCAATTTCTAAGTTGTTTCTTTTAAAAAACAAGCTTAATTTTGCACATTATTCAATTAAATTGAATTGCAGCAATTTGCTAAGCATATTATATCATTTATGCGCATATTAAGAACATGCTATATATTGTGTTGAAAAAAACCGTAACACATTTCGTGTAATAAAAAAAAACACACACTCATGTTATAAAATCATCAACATTATTATGTTTACATATTGGGGAGATTAGAGAGGAACACCTGTTTGCATAATAAACATCGCTTCTTCGTGCGGACTTTTGACGCGCGCGTTATTTCGAAGCGCTTTTATCTAGTATAGTAGTAGCATTTACTGCAAATTCAAAATGCAGAAACTTGTATGTAGTCTAAAATCGGCGCGCGCGTGATCAAAATATTATAATAAGCGTTACATAAAAGATAAGGATCTTATCGTCGAGCTAAGAGATACATAAATTTTTCTGTCAGTCGCGAAGGTCTCGAAAGCAGTCAAGTGTCCCGAAAAAAAAACTTGGCAGTTTAACATTAAATAATAACATATAGAAAATGGAAAACATACAGAACGGTTTGGACTATTTGAAAAAGAGATTTAAGTAAGTGCGAACACGAAGTTAAGTGGTTATTGTTTACGTTTCCTTAAGACTAAAAATTGCGCATAAACGCTCGAGTTTATTATTTATCAAGTGCGAACGTGTTATTTGTTGTGCGGCTACGAAATGAATGAGGTTTTGGCTCGGAAACTCCTATACATTTTATGTCCTGTCCGAGTAAAATTAAACCACAACAAATAATCGCGTTTTTCTCGCCGAATTGATTGCATTTGCAAACATCATCTTCTACGTTTCTTTTAAACATTAGTTTTGTCGTCCTTTCCAATTAATATTAATAATATACCGGTTTTTTTGTATGCTGTTGTTTCGTATGTATGAGATATGTTAAGTGCGCGATGGCAATGGAAAAGTAAATAACAGAAAAAAATGACCTTTTCTGTTTCTAGTATTATATTACATAACGCTTTATTCTGTAGAGTTGTCCAGAGTCCGAAATTCGCGTCTCTCTTGCATTTAATGTCGAAATCAAATTTAAAACCAATTGCAATTATTAACACGTAATTTAAAAATTCACTTTCGCGTGGGAAAATCCTCTACATCTAATTCCAATTTCGAAAGCGACTCCATCACAATTTCTAAAGTATGTTACTTTTCAATTAGTTTTTTTTTGTGAAGATGATCGCGGTCTATTAATAATCCTCGCTCGATTATATACTATAAAGACGTCCGACGCTGTTCACCTGTTATCCAATTTTTGGAAATTATCCAACAAAAAAAAAGAGAAATAACGAGACGCAAGTGACATTGGCGCATCTTATTACTCGCCGCAATTATTCTCTCACTTTTTTTTGTTGTTGTTGGGTCATCATTAATTCTCTTCTGGTCTCTTGTTACAGGATAATGGAGAACGAGCAGAAACTCGACGCATCCGACGCGACTTCCGGCGATTTAGTCTGCAACAAATTAAGTCCATCTCCCACCCAGGTGAGTTAATAATTATTACAAAAAAAAATAATTCTATTTATAAGTGAAATACACTTAAAAGAAATACTAAAATTTCTAAACTTTTCTATACGAAAATAGCAAATTTCATAATGTATTTAAAGTACAATGCACTCGTTAAAACCTAAAAATAGTGCAGCACAATCCAAATTTACTTATTTTTAAACAATTTTACGTGTTTTTTTCTTTCTTTCTAATTCGCTTCGTGTTTCTAATTTGTTTCGAAATGTTTACGCGATTAACCTTTTTTTTTGTTCAATGATGATCTTCTCGCTGTAAATATTTGGATTCGCGAATTTTACTGCCAGTTACCTGAACGTTACGATTGTCCCATTCATAAACTGTTCGTCATAAAAAAAGGAAAGAAAAAAGTCTATAAAGTCGTGCGTAATTTATAAATTTACATGAGCGAAGTGAGGAAATTGAATGATTGCAACTCCAATTCGGTCCACTTGCATCTCTCGCTCCGATTTATGTGTTTGTTTTTGTTTGTTTTGTTTTTTCGAGTGCGCATAACTGGTGGATGCTCTCATTCGAACATTGATTGATTTACTCCTTGGATTACGGCCACTCGCTATAAAATTTGGGTGCTAAACTGTTGAAATGTTTATTTTTAAATTTTCGACAATAAATTCTTTCATTTTTTTTTAATATATTTTCGTAAATGCACAAATAAACGAAAAGGCTCTGAGATATTGAAAGACACATATTTGCACATTAACAAGTATTCAAATTCATTCTAAGAACTAATTAATCTATTTTTCATATAATTTCCATTCAAATAAATTGTCCATTGTGCAAATCGTTGTTATTCTTCAATTGGAATTAATGTCATTTGAAAATAGAAATGCACGTAGAGAAAACTGGCAGCATAATAACACACTAAACTAATATTCGTAGTTTCTCTGCATACGAAACTGCATGTAAATGAAATGAGTACAAGCCGTGTTTTCCTCTCGTTCGAAAATTTTTGACGAACGAAAATATTGACAGTTTCGCTAAAAGCAGACGGATTTTTGTTTTATTTAGCTGCAGCAGTTTCGAAGCAATACGCATTGGCTTCTTGATGCGAAGAACATTGATATAAAAATTCTAGACGCGAATAACATCGTTTCTTTGGATAAATAAGAGTCCTGAAATAACACTTATTTGCAGAAAAGAAGATAAATTCGGTTATAACAAGATTAATAATAATTCGGTTATAATGACGTAAATTATTATATAAATGTTGTAATGTTACCTTGGTTACAACGTCATTTGTTTGTAATATTATTACAAAAGCTTTGTTTTGTTTTTTTTTACCATATTTTCGTTTCATTTTAATTTCGCTCTAATGAGAGAGTTCACTTTCTACTTTCAATTAAAACGGTTCACTCGACGCACAGTTATGTCATTACCGAAGTTTTTAACCGTAAGCGTAGAAATAGAAATAATTTTTTAGTCAAATTTTACCACACGAAAATTCACTTTATTTAATCAATTGAGGAAAACGGTTGTTCCGATCAGTCCGGATTCACTATAGTACGGTTTTAAAATTTCAAAACAAACCAAATTTTAATTGAGTTGCTGTATGCAGATTTATAATTATTATTGATATTGTCGTTAAGATTTATTTAATAACATTGTCAAGCTATAGGAAACACACATTTAGTGTTAAGTAAGAGATGCGTTTATAGTGAAATTAGAATATTGTGCTGCAGTGATGTAATATGTAAATCTGTATTGATTTATGCATTGATGTCAATTAGATTTTGGTTTTTAACGTAAATCGAAGATGATAAATAATTTGTTAGAAGGAAATGGGTAAAATGCCAACTATTGGAGCAATTACCTCCAGAAATATACTACGTACGGATATCGCAAGAACCGGTGACACTTTTAGTTCATACAACGATTTACGATCCGAAAAACAAGGTCATCTAAGTCATATTTGTACTAGATCAATTCAAGATAATTGAGTTTTTGATTAAGGTTTTTCTTTTAATAATTTGATTTTTAGATTTTCTATTTTTTAAACGAAATTTACAACTATTTCTTTAAATAAATATATTTAATAATACATTAAATCATACATCAAAAGTAAATAATCATAACTTAATGTATACTTGTTATAATTTCAAATAAATCTAATTGAGTTTAATTAATGTTTATGTAATGTTGCAACGTCCATAAATAATTCTAACTATTTGGGTAATATGAAAAATTTATACTTTTTTTTTACTTGCCAATATTTATACGACTTTAGAAATACGACTGTATTTTTTTGCATATCGAAACCCGTTTTTTTAAAATGTGTTTATTGATTCACGTAAATCAACTAATTAATTTCGTAAGTTTGTAAACGAATGGAGAGGATTGACGTAAATCTGTTTGCTAATTGAATATATTCGAAAGGAAATATTTCCAGGAATTTTAAGCTTATTCATTCCAAGAAATTAGTTTAATGCATATTTTTATAATTATATATATATATATTGCACATCAATAATTTTATTTAAATGAAACTTTACTTTTGCTGCTAAAAAAATACATTTAATATTTTAAACTTTTAAAAGTATTCATTGACTTTTCGATGATTTTGTAGCTTGAAACCAAAGTTTTTTTGTTCATTGTTAACTTTACATAATTTTAACAAAAATTTACCATTTTAATCGACGCTTTATTATTTGTATTATGTTCATTAAACTTGAGTAGAAAAAATTACAAAGTTTTATGTTATTTTAACATTTTCAATAATTCTACTAATGATATTTTTTTTATTGACATTAAAATATCATTTTTACCTTGTAAATTGAATAGAATAATTCTATGAATTTTCTAAAAAATTAAGTACAAAAAATCTACTTATTTAGGCTGAAAACTTACAGTATTTTATTTATTTATTTACAAATCTTAATTGCTAATTATATCCAAAACGCCAAAGTATTCTTGTCCACGGAGACGGAGTTATAGTTAACATTTATAATGTTAGGTTGAAAATCTATCAAATTATATTTGTTGGTGCTTAGTTTTTGTAATTAACGCGTTATTTGTGTTTGGCACTAATGGGTAAACCTCGGCGCTTTCCAAGAAAATAAATGAACGAGCATTTAGCACTTTGCGGAATGAAAGCCCATTGATCATGAAATGTGTGTGTGTGTATGAGAGAGAATTTGTAATAGTTGATTGACGGTTGTTCCGTTGCCAATTGGAATGTTGACGATTGCGTAAAGTCTGCACATATAGGAAACAACAGCAAATTCTTATTAATAGCCGAAGATTGCAGTTAACTGCACTTCGTTGTCTTCGGCGTTACGCTAAGACCTATTTTCGTTTTGGCAGAGTGCATCGCGAATGATGGTGGACCGCATGATCATCATCATCATCGTGTCTTCAGCTTATGCATAGAGGAGAGAAGCGTAGGTGCTCTTGCATATCCCGTTGTAATTATTTACTCGTTTATTTCGTATTTTGAAACGGAGAGGAAGGGGGACCTCTTCTCCGTCGGATTATATATACCAAGGGGGAAGGAGGGGAGCTGTTGTGGAAGAGGGGGCGCGTTTATGTGTGGACCAGAATTGGTAGAATAATGCGTTTCGTAGTCGAATTTGATTCATTCATTCATTGGACGCGTTTGCTCGTATAATTCTTTCCGTTTCGATATACATTTACACCGGACATTCGGGGTTTTGCTGTGACCGCGAGCGACTGTGCTGATTACGCCGCATCAACTATATAGACTATTAAGGACGGACGGACATAAATAGAGATAGAGTACGTGCATTGTCCAGACATCATCATCATCATGTCCCTCTGGATGAACTATATTAAAATCGGGTACACCGAGAGGAAGTACAAGAAGATGCAGCGCTATTCATCATACGTAGTGAGTGACAATAATTTTACACATAATTGAACCGAATATCACTTACATCTCGAATACATCTTATATAACAATTATTTTTAAAGTGGTTTCATGTAAAAAGAAAAATCGTTGCGATCCAATTCTGTCTCAGATAATAATAGTAATCAGCCGTACACCTTTTAATAGAATGACAAAACATACACACTTTATACTTTTATAAAGAGAACGTCATGGAAATCAAAGAAATTTATTGGTTACTGCTTACAATAATTATCTCCATAACAACCAAACAAATAAAGTAAAAACACGTAACATTAATTTACATTCTTCATACATGCTAATCTTCGTTTTAAAGAAAATGTCTTAATTTGTTTGGTTTTAATATTTAATGTTTAAAATAACAAATCCATAATTATCAACTCTCCTATGATTAAACGTAAAAATACAATTTACTAATTTGTTTAATAAGCTAATATAAATACAAAAATATTGACTATAACAATCATATTTATCAAAAAATATATTTACGTAAATATCAGGAATTGATGGATATTTATTAAAAATTGATTTATTCTTATTGATGAATGTTTTCATTGAATCTATATAAACGTAAACATAATTAAAAAAATGCATTTTAAGTATCAATCGAGTTCACAATAATATTTTTGCAATTGAATCCAAATGATAAACAAAAAACATGCTTTTCAATTGAAAGTCTTTTATTGATTCTCAGAATAACTTATTAATAACTTTCGTAAATAAATTTCAATTTATTTTTAATTTTCATTGATAATTTTCACTCTTATTCAAATTTTACTAACTAAAATTCATCAATTTATCATAAATACATATACTTTCTAGTTTTAGAATTTTAAGTACTTAAAAATTTCTAAACTTAAAACGATGAATTAATGATGTCCAATTATATCTGAAATCAAACACAATTTGTGAGAAGTGCTGAAATGATTAATCAAGAGTAAACAACGTTTTCTACTTTAAATTCGATTATCAAATTAATTAGATATCGCTTCATAAACTATGTTAATGTGTTTACTCATTAGAATATATCGAAGAAATCACTCAGAAGTTATCCATTATTTATGTTTATGACAAATTAAAGTGATTGACATTAAACAAAAAGTAAACAAAACACGTTTTAGTTTTCGGGAATTTCCAAGACAAATAACGCTGATACTTAAAGGAAGAAGTTTAAAAACAAACATCATATTTCAATTTTTATTATATTTTTTTTTTGTATGAATCGCCATTATTGCAAATCCATCGTATTAATAGAAGAAAACCACTAAGTGGGTCGCCATCTGCGTTTCTGCATGTATCATTTATTCGTTTCGCTATTATTTTAGATAATTGGGTTATTTTGCTGAGAATAGTTTTTTGCTCTGTCCAATACGTTCAAACTCTGCTACATAGCCATCATTCCTACGGATTACGTATATTGTGACGTTGTAACCAAGGTTACATGTGATTTAATGGCTGTCATTTTGACGTTACATTTGTCAGAATACCAATTGGAATTTGTTATATAATTTTTTTTTATTCGTACAGTTTTCTTGAACTTTCTAATATAAATATGTTTTTGTGATATGTAAAGAATGAATGGTGTTTCTGCTCTAGTTATTTCGATTATATTGATAAATTTGTGTGACGATTCAATCAATACTTTTTTTTTGTTATCAAAACAAAATTCAACGTGGTGATGATATTAATTATTTTCTAAATGTTAATGTCTACCGATTAATTGGAAATGCACGGAAGAGGATCGTATCTTCTTTTTTTTTGGTTGCATTTAGGCGAGGATTAATTGGGTTCCTGGCAATAATTCAGGTCCTGACGTTTCCTGTTGTGGAGGAAGAAGAGAACTGGCGCTTTCAAAATAAATAGGATTAAAACGCGTATTTCGGGTGTGAAAAAGAAACGCTCTAAAATTAGTTGTAAACGTGTACACTTGTTTTACATACACGAAAGGAGAACTACAAAAAAAAATATATATAAAATAGTTAAACTAAAACAATATTGTTTAAGGAATGTCCCCCGATTGTTGTCAGTGGCGTGGGACCGCACTATTTATAGTTTGTCTCGAAAATGAATCACGCGCATTCCTAAATGTTTAAAGCTGACTACACACCACGCGGTTCTTGTGCACGTACATGATCAGTACTAAAATAATACCAACTTAAATTAAATGCTGATTACTCGATACAACAAACTATGGTAGTCAAGGAAACTGATGACAATAAAATATTGAAAATGACATGCAAGTAACTTGACGAGTTATCGCACATTTAACGTTACTTGGAAAGTTTTAAATTGCAACATTTTCTCAAATCTAAATCGCTCTGACCAATTTAAGAATGAAATTGGTTTATACTAACGCTTTGAATATTAACATACAAATCGTAGGTTTGGAATTTTTATTGCCGTTTTATTTATTTCCTATTTACTATTTAGCACATTCGAATCATTAAAAATACTTTTTAGTTAAACTATTTGATTGCGATCCGTCAATATTTCGTACTATTTGAAACCGGACTAATCGAAGACTTTAATACTGATTTTATGTATTGATATTTAGAATTAACATTTACTTTATTTTGACATTTTCAAACCGAACTGATCGAAGCCGGACTATGCGAGGTGTTACTGTATTTGTAACGTTTATTATACAAGTAGAATAACGACAAAACATTGTCGAGTTGTGAAATGTGATTTCCTGCTGTATGCATGTTATCGTTTCACTAGTGATAAATCTCGTTTGAACGTTACAACATTCAAGTTAATTCGTTCTGATTCTCAAACGATGGGAACGTGACTTCATAGTGATTATATACGGACGAATACGCATTTGCTCGCTGTAAGCAGTTTTTTGTGTGTGTGTAAATGTTGCCGTTGTTTGTAATCAGTTTACAAACTGTTCTTGTTCGAAACAAAATATATGTACACAAACATAAACAAAATAATAAATATAAAAATCTAGGCCACGTAGGAATAATTACTATTATTATCATCATCAACGTGGATGGAATTTATGCAGTCAACCGAAACGTATTGCCACATTCGCTCTTTCGAAAGAAAGAAGCAAAAAAAACAGTTTTATGTTATATCACTTATTTAAAAAACAAACTAGATTAAAGTATAAAAAATCTTATATAGTTAGAGTACAAATTTATTATAAATACTTTATATAATAAGAAAGAAAGAAAGTTTGATTAATAATAAATAGAGAATGTTTAATGCAAAATTAAACAACTAAAGTTTTGTTCATAAATTATAAAATTTTGTATATCTAATATACGGATGTTATTCCATTCAATCAACACTTTTATAAGGTGTATTATTAGATTTAGTAAGCAATTATTTAGCCTGGTTTCGATAAATGGAATAACAGAGTTGGAGTGAATAACAAAAATGTCGTAAATACGCAGCTCTTATTACAACTATTCGATACATTCCAAGTGAAAAATAATCCAAGCATAAAGTTTTTTTCTTTCTCTCTTTGTATAATATAATTACACCGCGAAAATCAATAATGGTTCGAAAATCACGAATTTTCTATAGTTTTTACTTTAACATCTATATTTAATAACAATTCTCCAGTTATTAGTCTTCGAGTAATTAAGTGAAACATGAAGACAAAACTTTTCTAAACTTAAAATTAATTTCTTCAGATTTTGAAGCTGGTTAAGTGAAAACCGCTGTTACTATGAAATCTAATTATAGCTCATCCTATTATCAATACTTTATTCTTTAATATCCAAATTCAATAAGTGTACTAATTCAGGGGTTCCCAAAGTTTTTCGGTTTGCGGTAAACTTTATGTTAATATATCAGAATTTTGGAAGTCTACTACGAAAATGACAGATAGTTAATTCTAATCTCTTGTAGTTGCAGTTGAGTTAAGTTAAGTAAAACATAAAGATACGTCTTTTTCTTTAAATTTAGAAGCCTATTACGCGACAATTTCTAATACTACGAAAATGACTGATAGATCATTCGAATCTCGGTAGTTTGCACTTTAACATTCGATTTCAATATCTATTCTAAAATGATTAGTCTTCGAGTAATTAAGTAAAACGTGAAGGTACTGCTTATTTCAACGTTGATTTTTGGACAACACGTCGATGAGAAATGAACAATATTTATTCAAGCATTAACGTCTTTTGAAATTTACTTATTTTTCATTTTGGCAAATGCATTTAATCGAGACTAATATTTACATTCATCGGGTAATTTGGAAATTTTATGCAATTGAAATTTAAAGTTGGAAATTTTATTGTTATAGGCTCGAACGGAATCTGAAGAAGCGGAATCTCCAAGACCATTATCAGAAACCAGCGACATCAGCGTCGAAGTTGGCACGGCTTTGACGAAGAGGAGAAACCGCGCGGACAAGCTTCGGCCGTTGACCAGATACCTTCCGATCAGAAGTTCCGAGCTGGATTTGAAGCAGCACATCGAATCTGCAGGTACAGTTTTCCCGCTGAGTAAACAAAAAAAGATCATAATTAATATTATCAATATGATGCAGGTCACCAGGTGAATTTGTGCCCGCACATCATCATGAACACGACGAGCTGCAGGGGTTTCCTGCACAAGAGAGGATCAAAGTTGAACGGCTGGTCGCGCAGATGGTTCGTCTTCGACAGGATCCATCGGACGTTGGCTTACTACGCCGATAAAAACGAGAAGAAAGTCAGAGGTGGTGCATACTTTCAGGTAATATTCGCTAAAACTATTTTGCATTTGAAGTTTCATAAACGTAACGCTTGTTCTCTCTTTTTTTTTCCAGGCCATCGAGGAAGTGTATTTGGATCACGCGAACACGGTGAAGTCACCGAATCCGCACTTAACGTTCGTCGTGAAGACGCACGAACGGTACTATTATTTGATGGCGCCATCGCCGGAAGCCATGAGGATATGGATAGATGTGATATTCACAGGCGCCGAAGGATATCAGGAATTCGATCACGGAACCTAAAGAAACAAATGATGGAGGACAAGAGACGACGAGCCGATATTTATTATTATTATTATTATTTCTGTTTGATTTTCTGATGCTGAAGCGAAAGATCGTTTCGTGAAAGGTCTTAACTTTAGGCTCTAAAAGGGAAAGAAATATAACATTGATTTTCGAGTTACCAAAATTTCATTCGATCAGTCTTCGTGAAAAAATCTACGAGACAAAATGTGGAAGTTAATGCAGCTGGTATACATTGTACGATTAAGTTCTTGTATGTAATTTCTTTATTATTTTTTTTTGGTATTTAATGTAATCGTGCTAATTGCGTATGAGATGAGAGTGCCTTTTACTGGGAAGACTGTATTTCATATTCGTAAACTATATAATTGATTTATATACATATATATACATATACTATATACACAAACACACGTAAATAATTAATATTATTAGTTAGTTATTAGTGCTACAATTATAATAACGTAATATTTATTTTCTAAGACTGTTTATACATTAAAATGATTTTTAAATTTACACAACTTTCTTTTCTTTACATATTCACATTGCAATAATTATCATTAATTAATGCACCCCTTCACATCCTCACAGCTCACATTAATTCTTATAATTAACATCCTCTTTAATAAAGCATTCAAACAAATTGAATGACTCATAATAACTTTTAATTTATTTATTCTTTTTAATTAAAATTAAAAATAAATCAGCTAATGTTTCTCAAAACCACCAACAGATAGCTTTAATCATTAATAACTCAATGACGAAATAACGAAACGGGTATATCTATCCACAATCATGAAAATACTTACAAAATTAACATTATGATTAATAATATAATCTAATTAATGCCATAATTAAAAAGTGGGAGTTTGAACAGCGCCAAAAGGGCTGAACTAAAAGATTGCAGATGTCTATAAGAGATGTCTAAAATAGCGGTGTACCAATTTCGAATTAGTAATTAAGGCCTTAATTAAATTATATAATTACCGAAAAAAATAAGACTAATCTTATTATTATTCTATTGTATACTTTCACTGTTTATTTTAAACCATAATAACATACATATATTCAGTTAAATATTAGACGAAAGCATCATCTAGTGGTAATAAATAGAATTCAATAGAATTTTAAAGTCTTTAAATTTGTAATTAATTTGAGTGTTAGTACAAGAAATATTTAACTAACAAATATGCTTTATTAATAGTTAATAAATAAAATAGTTAATTAAAAGTTAACAGGATATGAATGAGATATATTTATAAATATATGATTGATTATTCAATCATTCTACATCAGTGTTTTCAAACCTTTCTTATTATCTCACTAGAAAATGTAGTTAAATTTGTAAGGCACAATTAAATTATGAATTCTTTATATTAATAAATAACATGTGTTAAAAGGTAAATGAAAATTATTTATTTATTTTCTTCAATGTTGAAATTAAATTGGAAGCTATTATTGGATGGTTTAAAACTGAATTCAGTTTTGTCATTGCTCTTTGTTTCCACTTTCTCATTATCGACTTCCAATTTCAAATTGGATAAATCACTGGTTAAATTGGAGCTTTTTGTTTCAGGTTTTGCTGATTTCTTTAGAAACATGGAATCAGTACTTGGTGTGGCTGCTTTCAATGTAATATTTCCTTTTACTAAAAACAAAACAAACAATAAACATAATACTTACAATATAGTATAGTTTACCTTTATTGAACTTTTTGGCATCTTCTGCCATTTTCTTACGGTAATCACCAAATGAAAGTCTCATAACTTGCCTTCTCTTCACCAACGGTGCAGCATTGTTCATTAAAGTGTTTAAAGCCTTTGTATGGTCCTGCACTGAATTTTTATATGAAAAATAATTACGTTAATAATCAATTAATGTTTTAATATACCTTGTTTGGAGCTCAATTTGCCACTTGCTAAAGCTTGTTGCAAGTTTTGTATGCACCAACATAACTCAAGTTGAAATTGGTTAACCATTTCAGAATCAAGAACATCGCTGTTTCCATCTTCTGCGGAGGAATCCACGATTTTTGGTGGCTTTGCCTTTGGTGGTGCCCGTTTCGGTGGCATATTTAAAATAAAAACTTAAAATTACAAATATTTTTAGGTTACAGAAAACACAACATGGACCATGCTCTAAATTCGTTGAATATCGGTATATCTCGGAAAACATCTTCATTTTTAAAATATTCAGTTAACAATGTCTTTGTCTTTAATTACAAAGATCATTGGTACTTAAGGAAAATATAATAAAATTAGTTACAAAACAATTTATTTCTTTAAAAACTTTCATAAAATATTTATTAATCATTAGTTAACAATAGGTTTTTTATTTTTCTTCGGACTCTTAGTTTTCTTATTCAATTTCTGTTTCTTTTCTTGAACAGGACTAGCCTGAACAGCTTCAGTTGACTTCCTTTTCTTGTTCTTCTCCTCGTTAGTCTGCGCAACCTTCGCTTCGCCGTTTTCCACAGTCGACGTGTTTTTCTCATCTGCAGCTACGGATGACCTTCTTTTCCTGTTCTTCCTCTTCTTCTTCGTCTTATCCTCACCATTCAGCTCAACCTTACTTTCCTCTGGTTTCGCAGGAGAACTTTCATTATTTTCCAAAGATTTACTTTTCTTATTCTCCTGCTTTGGTTGCTCCTCATTAGTCTGTGCAACCTTCGCTTCGCCGTTTTCCACAATCGACGTGTTTTTCTCATCTGCAGCTACGGATGACCTCCTCTTCCTGTTCTTCCTCTTCTTTTCGTCTTATCCTCACCATTCAGCTCAACCTTACTTTCCTCTGGTTTCGCAGGAGAACTTTCATTATTTTCCAAAGATTTACTTTTCTTATTCTCCTGCTTTGGTTGCTCCTCATTAGTCTGTGCAACCTTCGCTTCGCCGTTTTCCACAATCGACGTGTTTTTCTCATCTGCAGCTACGGATGACCTCCTCTTCCTGTTCTTCCTCTTCTTCTTCGTCTTATCCTCACCATTCAGCTCAACCTTACTTTCCTCTGGTTTCGCAGGAGAACTTTCATTATTTTCCAAAGATTTCTTTTCTTATTCTCCTGCTTCGGTTGCTTCTCATTAGTCTGTGCAACTTTCGCTTCGCCGTTTTCCACAATCGACGTGTTTTTCTCATCTGCAGCTACGGATGACCTCCTCTTCCTGTTCTTCCTCTTCTTCTTCGTCTTATCCTCACCATTCTGCTCAACCTTATTTTCCTCTGGTTTCGCAGGAGAACTTTCATTATTTACGGAATTTTCCAAAGATTTCCTTTTCTTATTATTCTTCTTCTTGTTTGGTTTCTTTTCAACGCTCTTCACATCTTTCGAATCAATCGAAGCCACTGAAGTATCTCCTTGAGAAGCAACCGACAACTTCCTCTTCTTTCCATTCTGCTTCGGTTGATCTCCATTGGTCACCACCGCAGTAGGTTCTGATTTCTGTCCACCAGAAGATTTCCTCTTCCTTCCCTTCTTTTGTTTCGATTTTTCTTCATTAGTTTGTCCATTTTCAACATCAGATGTTTTTTGTGCAGTGTTGACATTCTCTTCAACTTCAGCAGATTTCTTGTTATTATTCAACGTTTTCGGTGCTTCTTTAATAGCGGATGCTTTCAACTCTGGTTTGATTTGACTCAATTCAAAGCCCATAATATTTTTTCCACTTATCCTATAAACAAAATATACAATAATTACTGAAATACATAAAAAAATCCAATAATTTACCTATATATAATAACGTCAATACTTTGTCCAACGAGTTGCTTGTAATGATCAACTTTCGGTTCAAAATCGTTATCGTGAAGCTTAACAGGAAGATAAACGTGTTTCCCCTTGGCAACACCATCAGATATAATTCCAACGCAGTATTCAGAGTTTGCATGGACCACGTCCATTTTCACCTTAGTATTCTTCAAACAATTCTTGGATTCGACTACAGCAAAAGTAACATTAAATAACACGAATTACAATCGATAAAACTTCAACATACTTTCGTCAAAATTCAATGAATTCTTCAAGGTAAGATGGACAATCTTCTTTCCGTAATCAATGGCTATTACAGTACAGTTAATTTTCTTTCCAGCCTTTGGACTCTCTAAAAGTAAAGTTACAAATCAATTATCCAATATTTAAACCAAACCACTGCACAATATTTATCAAGTAACTCGTATTAAAACGAGAATTACTTGGCAAGTATCGCATACTTAGTGATACGCACTTTTCAATTCACTGTGATGCACCATTCCTTGATATCCATCAGCGTTAACTTTCAGTATAGTATTGGACTCTTTATCGACACTATCAACGTTGCATTCAATTCGATCTCCGATCTTTATACTCGCTACGTCGATCTGCGTAATCTCCAAGCGTTTCCTCAAATACTCCAAATCGTTTAAGTACAATTCTAAATAGTTGATGCAGTCGATCGTCGTATAATCAACGCCATACTCCAATTGGAAATTGAAGCTACTGTGATTGTTCGTCTTCGCCACAATACTATCATCGTTCGCCTCTTCCACGTCGTTCAAAGTTTTGCTAACCTCCTGGAAATTAATTAATAATTAGTACAAAAAACTATATTAATTAATTAATTGCTTACATCAATCGGCATTTCGACGTTAACTCCTTCGGGTTTTTCTTTGTACGGGAAAGTCACGGTGACGTGCGTCGAATTCTTAACGGTGATGGAACCTCGAACCAGAGTGTCCCCTTTCTTCTTAATCGAAGGAAATTGCGAATGGTTCAAGGCCATGCTGTTGAATTCGCGCCTCGAGATTATTTCCGGTTGTTTGTGCAGCACGAGTAAATCTTCGACTACATCTCCAACTTTGAAGGTGTCTAAAAAAAATATATATTTATAAGTAAAATAACGTATTGATTGATATTAAAACACTTACTGAATACTAATTGTCCAATATCCCTTGAAGCCACATGTCCTATAGGTAAATTAATTAAATCCCTGTACTTAAAACTGGATAGTTTCAATCCGAAATTGTTGATCTCTACAATTTCGGCGTTCGGTACTTTATCACCGACAAACAAATTGAAACTGTGCACCATCATCAGCGTTACGTTCGAGTTTTTCTTATCCTTGATAAAGCATTTCACCGCTTTGCCAATGTACATATCGTCTCCGTTCTTGCCATTTCTTATCGGTAGAAAACCTTTAGCGTTTCCGTAGAAGACAACCAAAACTCCAGTCGGATAAATACTCACAACGACGCCTACGTATTGTTTGTCCATCGGATCATTAATATCGCCAAAAACTGAGTTGCAACTCAACATTTCGGGTTTCATCGTTAAATCAACCATGTTCTCAGTGAATTTTAAAATTCTAAAATGATATTAATATTAACAAATCATTTTTTAATGAATTTGTATTAAAACTTACTTTGCTTCTATGGTTTGCCCGATATTGAATTTACCGTTAACCGCCTCTGTGTATCTTTCGCTAACCAAGTGCATGTTCTTGATGAAACCAACTACTTTAGAGTCGATCTTTACGTACATTCCCGATGGTACGAAACCGGTGACCCTCGCTTTAACAGTTTGCCCTAACTTGTAGTTCAACTCTGGATAGTTGGAGATTTCCTTGCTGAAGGCGCATTCGTACACGTTATCTATTGAGTGGTAACTCAAAACGATGCATTCGTGATCACTGCCAAGAGGATAATTTTCCGTCATGTATTCTCTGACCACCGAATTCTTGCCCGGAATTGGTCTCACCAAACCGAATTGAATGTTATTGATCTTGATCAATAAGCCGTGCGCTGAAGCTCCAGAAACGATACCTCTAACATGATCACCTTTGATCAACTTTTGCGTAGGTTTGAGCGTTCTCAATGTGAAATAAGTGAACTTATTCATAGGTTGCGTGTAGAGCACGCTAGCAGTAACAATCTGCCCGATTTTGTACGAATTCAGTTTCTTATCCAAATAAATTTGGTTGATGTAAGCAATGTTATCATCGAACATTTTCCCCATCAAACCATCAGCCAAAACCTACAAAAATGATTATTTAAAAAACAAATCCATCGAATACAATGAAATATTACCTTTTCAATAGCAAAGTTAACTTTCATGGATGGTATGAGATGAGCCAAAGTTATCTTTGGACCAGTATTCTTCTTTGTTTCATCAATTTTCGTCGTGACCACAATAATAGAAGCTTCCGGTTGGATATCGCACTTTTCAGAAATCACGTACAAAGGCTCACCGATAACTACAATCAATTATTATCACCACGGACACTCACAAATCAATAAATAATCTTACCATATTTCGCTTCTTCATCAGCAAGATTCGTAAAAGGTAAAGTAACCCTACAGTTTTTAATACCCAAGTCAATGACATAATTGTAATCATTCTTCTCAGCTATGCTACCCCATAATAGCATATACTTTGAGACATCTTTATGTGAAAAAGCCCAGTTAACATCGGCAGGGTCACAGCTCAACTGAACTTTAGTCTTCAGCTTATTTGTTTTGTCAATTGTGTTGATTCTTACCGGAATATAACTTCCAATTTTAAGAATTTGATTCAATTTATAAATTTTCTAAAAGTAAAATATTAATTCATGTTCTTTTTTAAAATATCTTTGAATATCCTACCGAAGAATCAGATTCCTCTTCAATTTGTCTGCTCAATTCAGCATTCAGTCTACTTGAAACAGATTTAATCTCCAAAGAGCCATGAATTTGTCCTGGTAACTCCACTGTTGCATAGAATTCTTGGATTTTTGAGATACAACCCAACAGAAGCATACCTTCTTTGATTGTCTAAAATTAACCACATTAATTATGATAACACAAAGAATATTATAAAAAATTTACATCATAAGTTAACAAATCAGCTGTATCCGATTTGGCTTGGGTGTTTATATATGACTTGAACCATTCTTCTTCCTCTGTCCCCTTTTTCCATTGCTGCTTTGCAGTGGTTTCCTTCTCTTTCCTTCCGAAAAGCTGAAAAACGAAGTAGTTTTTAACAGTTTGCTGAACGCAGCCTTTTCATGTGACTTACGTTTTTGATGATCGGTTCTGTGGGTCTTGTCTTCTTCACGAATTGACTGGCACCTCCTCTTGGGAAACACTCTTCTACACTCATCTTGATAAAAATAATAATCTCACTTAACTAACAATTGAAAAATGTACAAAACTATATGAAAAACACGTGGGGACAACTTTGAAGTTATCGGTAAATAAACATTTGAATTGAAGTTTCCTTAGTTGAGGTTATGTTGTATGCTGTGAAGTTGCCCTCGAACATATACCACTTCTTCTACTCTGCTGAGAGTGGAAGTAGGCAACTTAACTCGCATCTGTTTAAAACTAATTTTACATTTTCAACATTGATTTTTGACGAATATTAATCAAACCAATAAATTACTATTGAAACCGTGAGAGGATAAATATTTTTCAATATTCTAGGAACAAAATGACTATATACAAATGCCATTAACTGCTATAGATTCTACTTAAATTATTAACAAATTATTATCACTTTGAAAATTCATATCTTAGTTTCTATTTAATTTTATACAAAGAAAGCATTAATACTAATTTATATAAATTAATCAATTAAATTTGATCGCTTGTAAATAATCAAAAGTATATGTTATTGATTATTGACAGATTGAAAGTTAACATCTCGAATTTCATATTATATTACATAAACAAATTACGCCCAATAGAAAATAAACTATATATATATTGATCTTGAAATTTCAAAGATTAAAATAGGTATAAATGTATGTTCATATATTATTTGGTATGTTTGTAAAATAAAAAAAAATACTAATTTATAAATAAGGTCTTTGTTTTTAGTATAACAATTTAAGTATTAAAATATCTGCGTAATTGCAATTTAATTGCTTGAAAATAATTAATAAAATTTTGTTGTTGTTTATTGACAGTTGGTAAATTAACATTTTGGATTTTATTATATATTATGTAAATCAAGAAATCTCTACCAAAACTAAAATATAGAAATTGATCTTGGAATTTCGCAGATTAAAACAAGTATAAATACATGTTTATAAATTAATTTATATCTTTGTAAATTAATAAATAAAAATTTATTGACAGTTGAAAAATTAACATCTAAATTTTTGTTATAAAAACAAACAAATGATTAATTTAAATAACGTATTTTTCTACACGTAGTTGTCATTAAGCAAAATAAGCAAAACTTTTCATATTATCGAATGCAGATGGAAAAGAATAACAAAAATGCGATGATAAAATGGAATGGAAAAATAATAATAAAAAGAAGGTGGAATGTTCGTTTAACTGCATGCAGTTAAAATCCTTGGGATCTGCTGAAACGTCGGTGCAAAGCGGTGCTAAGCGTGACTGGGGAATGCTACGAAATTTTACTAATTTTCTATCTGGCTGCACGATAAAACGGTGAAATCCATCCAACAAAAGGGGGGAATTTCCAACAAAACTGAAAATGTATTTCCAGACTGTATTTATTTGTTTTAGTTATGGATTTCTATCGCAACACGCAACGCGTTTCAATAATATCACGGAACACGATATATTAATCATCCACCTAAACATCATAATTTTCATCAAACAAAAATTAAACACATATATCATGTAAAATCTAAATAAAACACAGCAAAGTTTATGAAATATGTTAGTATTATATGTATTTGCCAGAAGTTATGTAAAAGAAATATTTTATTAACTGGTAAATATTTATTACGATTTTTTTAATTAAATAAAGAAATACTTAATTTATATAAAAAAAATCATCAAATTGGTATTTTTTTGAAGAAATTGTCTTGCTGAATTCTCCAATATCATTCAACAAATTAAAAATGAAGTAGTTTATAAAGCAAAATGTGTACTTTATAAAAGTTATAGTAACTTTATTTTTAAATTAATTAGTAAGAAGGGAATAACTCGAAATTAAATTAAAAAAACTTCTGATTATTATACACATATACAAAGTATGAAGGATGTAAAAGCAAATGAAGGAGGCGTGGATGCTTGTAGGCTTGTAGAAATAAATTAATTTATTAAGTAATAAAATCTCAATATTTTTTAATTATATATTAACAATGTTGTTGTTTCCATGGTAAATTATAAATGATTTTGATAGAGCGATTAATCAATTATTTGATTTGATTGGTAATAAACACATATTTGTATTGTTTCCATGATTAATTATAAACAAATTTAAGGTTTTGACAAATGCGTAACAAAAGAATGTCATGAGTTACGTATTTGCAACGAGCTATTAACCATTTATTTGATTTGATTGGTAATAAACACACATTTTTGTATTGTTTCCATGGTTAATTATAAACAAACTTAAAGTATTAACAATTGCGTAACAACTTGAGTTATGTATTTTCAAAGAGCGATTATTCATTTATTTAATTCGATTGGTAATAAACACACATATTTGAATTGTTTCCATGGTAAATTATAAATAAACGTAAAGTTTAGATAAAAGTCATGGTATGTGTTCGTGACGATTGTGAATTACGGAGGAATAAAAATTTCGATAGCAGCGGTTGCTACATTAAATAAGAATTGATCCGCGGCGAGTTTATAAAAGAGGAATCGCGTTCCGGCCGTGAGCATTCGGTTTCGAAGATGTTCGGCAAGAGCATGGGTTCTTCGGGAACACCCAGGAAGCAGAAGCTGACTTCCGGTACCGGATTTCTGGCCAGACCACGGCTGGGCGGACTCAAGAGCAACTACTTGAGCAAACCGCTGACCAACTTCAGCATGGACAAGAAGAAGAAAGTTAAGTAAGTTTATTTTGCGAAGAAGAGAAAAACACATAAATTTATAATTATTCTATGAGTTATCATTATATACTATTGTTTACACATATTTATGTTAATTTTTAATGCAATTTAATCAGCGCAAATATTTTAGTTCTAATCAATGATATGAGAATTTAAATTATTGCATTGATGTGTGACTTTGTTTTAATCGTCTTATATAAATTTTAGTGCATTTTTCTATTATATTTAGTTCTTACATTAGTTTCGATTAGTCCGGTTTATTAATATTAATAATACAGTGAAACCTCGCTTAACGAACACCTCGCATAACGAGCATTTCGCTTAATTAGCATTAGCATTTTGCTTAACGAGCGACGTTTCACATAACGAGTGACGATGAGAAGAGTAGTCCCGGATTGTGCACCTGCTACATCATTTTTAAAACTTGTGTACACATATTTTTGAATATGTTTCACTATACGAGTAAAAATCCGGAAATTTTGAAACGGATTAAACTCGTACTGTAAATTTGAGAGGAATTTTTAGGGAAAAGTAACAATTTAGTAAATTTGACAATACTAAATTTCTCATCCACTTTACAAAATTTAATTTATTTTGAAAGAATTTTACCAACTTTTATAGTAAAATTATCAGATATGTTTGAACTAATCATGTTTTTAATTTGGTTTATGTAATTTTACAAGCTTTCTCTGCTTGAAATTTCATTTGTTCTGTACAATTTAAAAATTTATTGCACTTTTCAAGAAACTTTTCAATTTTCATAATTTTAATATTGATTTGTCTGTGAATTCAATTACATTATTTTGAAATTGTTCAATCATTTTTATACAATAAATATATACATAAATATGCAAAAAGACTGTAATTTGGTCAAAATTATTGATAATAAAGATTTGTAAATAAGTGTAATGAAATATTGATTGAAAGAAACAAGTATTAATATAAGCAACTTGTATTAGATAATAATATTATTGAATTACGACTTAAATAGCTTCTTCATATTTATAAATAGAAAATCAATATAAGTTTATATTCGCAATTTGATTTAGTCTATAAACTTGAGAATAAATTTTATGTATGTAACGTAAGTTTAAAAGAGTTTTTCAACATTTTTATTAAATGTAATTATAAATTAGACTTAGAAAAGACAGAATCTATAAACTATTTTTGTATCAAAACAATAAATGCGTCTGTAGTACACGAAAATATTAACTGATCATATCTTATACCTGCATGACTAGGGTATACATAATTAATTTCTTATTACCACCATGCATGTGACTCACGTAAATATTGATCGCGAAGAAAATAAAAAACTTGCTGACCACTTCATTCCGTGCATGTCCTTCTTACAATCATGTACTACAATACTAGGTACACAAATCTTAACTTTATATTATAATACAAATGTTTATATAAACTTTATTTACAGAAAACCGTTTACTCCCAAATTGGAATACAGGAAGAAACCTGATTACGCCGATACAGCATACAAAGAAGCCGTGTCCCGTTTAAGGATACTCTTGGCAGAAACCTACACTCCTGTTAAAAGGACGATGCGGGACTTTGACAGTGCAGGAGATGAAACCGATAATCAATCGATCATCAGCGGCGTCAGCAGAATTTCGAAATACCCACCGTTTACTTCGACGTCAAAGAAGTATCCTTATTACACGCCAAGAACAACGACCACTCACATAACTAACATTGAGAAACAGTAAGATAACAATCTTAGTTTTTTTTTAAATAAGTTTTGAAAATTATATTTTCTTTAGCGAAATACCCAATAAATTTGAGTCTCAAATAATACCGCCGGAATTATCAACGTTCATGGAACGGCAGGAAGATTACATCGAGCAATTAGAGAAAGAGTCCAGATTCTGTAAGGTAAATCTTCATAACTTTCTTTGTTTTTGTGTAAAATTTTATTTTATCTTTGATTGTTAACAGGATGAATTGTCTACATTGCTGAGCAAAGTCAAAGATATAATTTTCGAGAACGACTCGCTGCATGAGAAACAGAAGAGCAGTCTGATGAAATCCGTTTTCGATCAGTTCGAAACTGAAACCGAAACAGAAACGGAAGCGGAGATGAGCAAGTTGAAGTCTCCGAAGAAATCGAGGAAGCAGAAGGTACTTGAAGGTCCATCTATAGTTTTTGAGTCTCGAATATCCGAGCTGGAGGCGCAGCTCACGCAAATTCGAATCGAACTGAAGAAGTCTCAGGAGGAGAACGATACGTTGAGGAAGAAAGTATCCGATTGCGATTATGGTGAAGGCGCCGGGATCAATAAGAATCTCATGGACAATTTGACAAGGGAGAAGAACGTTTTGCAGGAGACCGTTTCGAAGCTGCAGTCCGCTTTGAATCTGCTGAGAGATAAAGAGCAAAATACGAGTGATCAGGTTAAGAGGAGTCTGGATGTGGCTGAGCAGGCTCAGTACGAGAAGACCGCCGCGGAGCACGAGATCAGACGTCTGAAGGATGAATTGGAGAGGCAACATTCAAAATTAAGAGAATCCATTAATGATCAGGTAAATAATTATAATTTACTAATTGGATTTTAACGAATTTATACGTAATAGTGTATTCAAAGACAATTTGAAAACTCATTACAAAGTTGTGAATAGTTATTAGTTGGGAATCCAATCAATTACAAAGCAATCTCGCATAGAAAACTAATTGCAAACTTGATAGAAATTTGAATAACAATATTTAATAGTTCAAATTTCAAACTTGATCGCACTTTGAATATTCATTATAAGAGTTAATATTATTGATTTAAGATTTTAAAAGATTTCAATGAATATTAACATATATTTCAACAAATTATATAATTGATTATTGTTTAGAATCGTAGAATTGCTGATGAACGTTCGGCTGTTGAAAGAAGATACACGCAGCAAATTGAGCAGCTCACATCGGAATTGGGCGTTCATTGGGAGCAAAACGGAAAGTTGCAATTGGAATTGGATAAGCAGAGGCGCGAAAGCACGGATTCGAGAAGAGAGTTGGCGCAAAAGCAGGCGCTCATCGATGAATTGAAGAAGGAAATGCAGAACAAAATAAGTAAACTTTAATGGATAAAACATGATCTGGTTTGTATGTTTATATGATGTGCTTGTGTTTTTTCTTAGTAACTCTTCAATCTGATATTGGAGTAAGCGGAGCGGAGAAGAGCGCTTTGGAACAGCAGATCTCTTCGCTCCAGATGGCCAACGAGAGAAACGAAAGACAGTCGAAACAGGAGGTTGCTAGGATGCAGGTGGAAATGCAGTCGCTCAGGCAACGGTTGGATAGAGCCGATGCGGATTCCATTCACAGCAAGAGGGAGAATATTCGATTAACTGAGCTAATTGCTGCTTTAGAGAAGGAAGTAAGTTTGTTATATATAATATTTGTTGTTTACAAGAGGTGATTAAAACTTGATATTTTGTCGCAGATAAATATGAATGCTGCATTGTCTGATGAGAGATCGAAGAGATCAGAAGCTATAGCTTTGCCATCGGTGAAAGAAGAGAAGGAAAAAGATATGGGTTTAATGATTAAGAATATTGAAAACAAACACGGTGAGTGTTTGCCTTTTAGAAGTAGATTAAAGATAAAAAAGAGTAATTGAGAAAAAAAAAGATAATTAATAGAAGAACATGAGAGAGTGATCGGAAATAGTTTATCCATGAGTTGATTAAATGATTGTTGCAGCGGCCACTGTGGCCGAACTGGAGGGAATGATCCAATCGCAGAATCAACTCATGGACAAACTGTCGTCAGACTGTCATGTGCTTACCCAGAAGCTGGAAGAATCCAGCAACAAACATAAGTAAGATTCGTAAATTATATTAAATCAGAAATGCTGACATTTATTGTTAAATATATTTTAATATTAGTGTTAATAATAGTGATAGCAATTATAATAATAGTTAATATAATATAATTAACGCATTTCATCTGATGATATTGAACGAGAGATTCGAGAGAGTGTAAAAACTAACTTGTGTTTGGTAGGGACGGAAAACAGCCAAAACGGGTCCGATTTGCAATCTGTCCGACCAACCAAACGCAAGGAACCTATCAAAGTTGATGTAACAGTCAAACTCGTGCCTAAGTCGAAGAAGGTCAGTTCAATTGAAATTGTTGCGTTAATAATAATAATAAACACTTGGACTACCTAAAAAGAAAATCAATTCATTTTTTTGTATAAATAAAAGCATTTATAAAGAAAACAAACATAATAAATATATCATAATCTCTGCATTTATTTTAGAAGTGATAAGCAAAAACTGTGTTTGGAAAACAGAGAGTTAATTAGTAAAATTGAAAATATTTGGAGTTCACTTAAGCAACTGCAACATTCCACAAGCTATACTAGATCGTAGCAGGTAATACACACTTCCACATTTCCTAACTAATCCTTGTTTTTTCTCTCGTTATAGGGAGGAAATACGGGAACTACAAACTAACTTAGACTATTTGAGTAATAAGTTTAGTCAATCCCAGATTAAATCTCCTGATAATCAAGGTATCATCATACCTATAGCGAAAAAAAATGAAATCATCACCAAAATCATTAACATCACTTAAGCACACTTCAAAAGCCAAGTTCTATATTTCCATTTCTCAAAATCCCTAAAGACAAATGGAAATATAGAATTTGAATTTTTCAATGAAACAGAAATTTCAAAATATATTTATATTTTATAGATGAAATCAACGGCATTTCGAAAGTCGCACCGCACGCAACTCCGAAGAATATTAAGGAAACCGCACCAAAAAATAACGTAGAATCCGCAGAGCAGCAACAGCAAAACCACGAATCGAAAGAAGATGCAAAACCAGAAGGAAATGAAGATGAAGTAAATTATTACAATAATCCGGAAGAAATGCAGTACGCTCCTAATCAAGAAGATTACCAAAGCAATCCTGCAGAAGTATACGGCGATCAACAGGAAGCTTATCCTGCGGAGCAATACGATCCTAATTTGCAGGAGAATTACTCTGCAGAACAGTATGTTCCAGGAGGCCAAGATCCTAATTTGGAGAGTTATCCTGCAGAGCAATACGATCAGGAGCAGTATTCTGGTGAGCAATACGAACAGGATCCAAATTATCCAGCTGAACAGTACGATGCTAATTATTCCGAAGAGCAGTACGATCAAACTCAGTACGATCCGAATCAGGGATATTCTGAGCAAGCCGATCCAAATGCCGAAGTTGCATACCAAGAGACAACTCAGCAGGAGGAACTTAAATAGTTTTAATTGTATTTTTAGAAATGTTGTTGCTGTTGGTTTCTAACGAGAAAAAAACATATATTTATCTAACGTATTGTGCAATGCAGTTTATATATATATTCATAGATGGGCTTTAAATATAATTTAATTATTATGTATGTAAAGTAATTAAACATAAACGTTATTCTTAAAACCGCTTATTTGTAAGAGATAATTTACAATAAACTCTATTAAGATAAATAATTGATTTTTCTTGATTGATGATGATCGATTTAATTAAATAAAAATTGATTAAATCTAATAGAATTAATGTCAAGATTTAAGCTTAAAAATGAGGTTTTTAATATTGTTTCAACGTTGAATAAAAATTCAGGAAAGTTGAATTCTACGTTAAGATAAGGCTCATAAGAATGAGTTGTATAAAAATTATTATTTTTATTTCTTGTCTCTTGAATTCCACTCCAAAAATCTGCCTTACTTGCCGTAAATGATGATGAAGATGAGAATAATGATATATTTGTACACATTACGAAATGTACGTCACTGAAAAAAAATAGTAAAAACAAAGTGCGTCGATTAAAAATGGGAGGATGCGAAAAATTTATTAGAAAGAAAGAAATTGATTAGCGTAATTAGATAAGCACCATGTTATTGCCGCAGTATTGTATAACGCCGTAATTGCCGGAGATCATCCACGTGGAGTCTTCGTTCTCCGCCTTTTTCACTGCATTGTCGTTCAATCCGCAGATCGATTCGGATTTCAACGTGCGCAAACTGCAGATCCTCGAGGGGAAGAAACCGCCGAGTGCGTGCTCAATCGATGTGGTCGGATCCCAGGATCTCTCGCCAAACAACTTCCTGTAGTTAAGGTCACCTTTGAAGATGATCAATTTGGCGCGCGCCAATTTCCTATAGAGACTCTCGTCGACTTTGAACATGTGCTTGTACTCGAGCGGGGTGGTCCAGAAGTCGTGTTCTTCGATTGTCCAAAAATCGTCTTCCAAGTACGTTTTCCAACGTGAACCTGCGAAAACATCAATGCTTTTAACAAATCTAACACATGTTTTACAAAACAAATAATAATACCTAGATTTCGCAAGACATCGTCCTCGCTATCAGCGCATTGGTCAACCAACCATTCCAAATCTTTTTTCATCACATCGGAAAGGAACCACGGTATTGTCTTCACGTAAAATCTGACCCTTTCCGCTATATTCTTCGTGCACAAAAAGTCAGCGATGCACAGGTCCGTGAAAAGTTCGTAGCCGCAATTATCCAATACAACATCTAAATGTAATTATTGTTTTTAATATTTATAGCCCATGATCGATTTTCGCTTATTTAATTACCTATGAATTGATATCTACTTTCCACGTTCGCTGCTAACCAGACTTCATTGCTCATATCGCAAAGAAGATTCTTAGACAAGCTCTTATTGCATTCAATGAGACTCAATGTAGGCGCTAAAGCATCACCATTCGTATGAGACAAATCGCACTTGTTGCCCCACATATTTATCTTAAATAAATAAAATTAATAACCCGAATCTAAACAACATAAATCAATTGTAATCATTTAAAATATATAATTATATGAATTATCTAAAAGATTAATGCATTTCTTATCTTTAACTTTGAACAGAACTCTCTAATATTCTTTAATCTCTTTTGATTATTTTTTTTTAATCTTTTGCAAATTGCTATTTTGTTTATGTCGACTTTAAAGGTTGTCGCGAATCAATTATAATTACTTTTAAAAGCTCCTTAAAATCAGACTCATCATTCCTGAAATGACTGCTTAATATGTCCAGCAGGAACTGACCCAAATAAATCATCGCTTCTTTTCCTTTAAAGAAAGTGCTGCGTTTGTCTTCTCTGAACGGATCGAATTTCTGTAAATGCACCCTTAAAAAAACAAAGAAGCTTTATACAGCGACAAAAGGCAGACGTATGTTCAAGAATTACGTCTCTTCGAACATTTCCTTGATCCGCCTGTACATGTAACATTCGGCGAACAGCCAGAGCACGTTGAAATAGCTGCACGTCGCGTTCTGATCGTTATGATATTTGAGCACTTTATTGTAGTGCACAGCATCAGGTTCAGTGGATTTCAGTTTAACAATCTCCTTGTTCGTTTGGATCTCATATTTCAACTTTGAAAGTTCACCAATGACATGTTTAAGATCTTCGGCACTCTCCTGCAACATGCCACAATAAGTTACTTGAAAAGGTGGAAATTTCATTTATATTATTTTAATTACCAAACCATGAATTGTGGTAATCTCCTCTTTGTTTCTGACCAAACTATCGATAATCTTTGTTATGATTATGGGCATTCGGACTTTGACTGTGTGATTGGCATAGCTCCTGAAAAATTCTATTTGCAATTTTTATTCATTTGGTGGCTGTTGCTTCAAACCTTTTAAAAAAGGCGCTGAGGTATTCGTTTCTGGGTGTCTTGATGTCCACACCCTCGCCAGGAAAATTCACGCAGTGGCACTCATCCATATCTAGATCGATGTTAGTATATAGCGAATGATAATGAAAATCTGGATGAACTGTGAATTTTATGTGTGAGCTGATATCTAAATTCAAAAAAATAGTAATAAGATAGGTTAGTTTCCATATGTGTGTCAATTCAAGTATTCGCAAGGAGCCCCATCTAGTTGCGCAGAATGAAGAAAGAATTTAAATTGTTTTTCAATACACATTTATTATAACATATAAAAGAAGAAAAATCATCACATTAAATAATTATTCTCTATGTAAAGAGTATATATATATATATATCTAAATAAGCGAAAGAATCTATTAGATAATTAGTATATTATATATGTATATATCTAATTATTGCAACAATCTATTTTGTATAGTGAAGCCTACAATTAAAAATAGTTGCCTATAATAGAAAATAGTTGCATTAACACTTATCACATTGAGTTTTTATTGTTAAATGGAGAGCGTGATTAATCTAAACCACTCAAATCCAAGTCATCCGCAGAACGGCGCTTCCTGGACTTAATTCCGGTCAGCGGATTCTTCAATATAGCCTCAATGGAAGAACTTATGAAGCTCCCCAATTCACCGACGACGTCATGCTGCTTCAGTTTTTCTCCAGGTAATTGGCCCCGTCTTATATTCTGCGAAATGTTCTGCGTTATGTTCTCGTCGATCTTCATGTTAACGTGATCTTTCAAATTCAGTCCAGATAAATTCGGTGTAGTTATGAACCTGAGCTTATGCGGAATATCGATTTCCATGCTCGACTTCCTCTTACGCTCCAACTCCATGAGATACGCGTTCGGCGTTTTTGTATGGGACAGCCTGGGCCTCGTGAACGTTCTGTTCGATGGGTGAGAGCTCAGCAATGGTTCGGGTGCAAAGACCGAACGAGCCAAAACGTCCTGAGATTTTGCTACCTCTGTGTTCAGATCTGAGAATTTCTGGTCCCATTCGCTCATCTGCTTCTGGATGCTGCAAATGGCGGAGTCTTGTTCCTGCAATTTTCCCGCCTGCTCCTTCAGCTTGGTCTCGTGTTCCTGTATGAGATTCGTCTGATGTTTGATCGTCACGCTCTGTTTCTCAATCTGAAACATTAACTATATAACAATGATACAAGTTTAGTGAAGAGCAAACCTTGTTGTATAGTTTGTGGACGATCTTGGATAAGCACATTATTTGCTCCTTCTGTTTCTTATTGAGCTTTGCTACTTTGAGAACCTCCTCCTGCACACCCGGCTGTACAACATATACTTTTGGCACTCGAGAAACTGACGGTGCGAATGACATCACTGAAAATTACACACATATATTCGTTGAAAACGCTTTTTCCGATTTATTTCTCACATGAGCTTGTCGTATGGCATTTTATTGTAGGCAGTATCTTCTCGTCAAAGTACTCCATAGCCATGCTACTTATATCGCGCAGTTCCTGCAAGATCTCATGAGTCTTTGGAGGTGTTCCGGATTTCTCGACAATACCCAAAACCCTGTCCAATTCATCCAAAACCTTCAAACAAACAAATATATGAAAACTAAAATGTTTAAACTATACAAATTATAACAATTATACCTTCCCAGGGTTAAAGCAGCACAAATTGTTCTGTATGTATTTCATGTAGGTCATATTCAACATGCTTATTCTCGTTTCGACAGCGGATAGAATGTCGCAGTGTCTGAAGAGTGGATGAACTCTACGTTCGGATTCCCTCCTCGGCAGCATCGACTTAACGCGCTTGAAGATCGCAGCATGCTTCTTTTCAATCTGCATGAATCCTCTAGAAAGCAGGTTGCTTCCAACATCATTGAATTTTTTGCAAACCTATCATAAACACAATAATATTATTACAGTTTCACTTGGAAACGCCCTCTATTATTTATTAGTAAAAAAAAAAGGTGTAAAGAAAAGATAAACATAAAATTAATTTGGTTCTGTATTTAAAAATAGATAATATAAAGTTATTTTTGGGGTGAAATAATCAATAATAATCTCATTCGGGTACCAGCAAATCGAGACTCGCGTTTGTTGCAACGGAATTGGCGAACTTCTGTTCACCCCCTCGTATTGATAGCGAATGCATCGCAGTAACTTTTTTCTCCTTCATCATACTAGTCTTCTCCCATTTGCCACTGCCGCAATTTTTGCATCCACGTATCGGCACTATATCCAAACTGACAGTTCTGTTGCCGCAATCGCCGCACTTGAAGAACCTCTTGAAAGCGTCGAACACTTTCAGAGGATGCTTCTCCTGCTTGCACAAATCCGACGCGGAGAAATTCGTATATTTACATTTCAAGCATTTCACAGCTTTGCATTCAACCTTAAAGGTGTTCGACATTTTCTCCTCCATCCGCTCCTTCAACTCCAATTTATTGAAATACTTCTCCTGCTCTTCGTTCTGATGCGCCTCCAGCAAATCCATGTGCTTTGATGTGGCTGCCATCATTTTCTTGAAGCGTTCCGAGAAAAATTCGTTGTTCTGGATTTTCGCTTTCTTCGGATCCGTTTCCACCCGTTCGGATACCTCCAAAGCGCGTTTCTTTCCGCGTTTGTCTTTAACGCTGTTGGGATCCTCTGCTTTTAAAGGTCCGTTACGTTGCACCCATTTCAAAGCGTTCATCTTCGCCCGATCGACGTGCTTCTTGGAAATTGGCGACGAGAGATCCACCGTTTCCTCGCCTAAACCAGAAAGTAGAGGAATATCGAACGCTTGAAGTTCTATGTTTTTCGGTTTCGCTGGTTCCTTTCTAATTGGTTCTTTTTCAGCAGGTGGTGCTTTTTCTGCTGCGTTTTTAGCTTTCAACTTCTGTATCACACTAATAGCAGTAGTTTTGGATTCCTCTAAAGTAACTTCAGAACTCAGAGGTTTACTCAAGACGTTGGGTTTTGGAAGACCGAGGACATCGCTCGTTGTAGTCGTAATTTCGCCACCAAGTCTCTTCAGTAGCTCAAGATCTTTGGCTCTTTGCGCAGGAGAAGACTCCAATCTCACAGCCGATTTCACCCTAGGAGCATTACTTGTTTTAATATTGTTGACTGCAGGAACAAGAGGAGCCATTCCTGATAATAAATTGATCCTGTTTTGGTCTTTGGCTGCTAACTTTTTACTCTTCGCAGCGGGAACAGCGCTAAAAGACTTTCCACCATAAAACACCTCGTTTTTACCCAAGACTTTATTCCTCAGCGCAGTGAGACCACGTCCAGTGTAATTCGCCTGCAGCTCGGATCTACCTCCGCTGCACTTCTGATACTCTTGCTTAATGTGAAAAATGCAGAATTCGCATTTATTCGTATTCACGAAAGCCGTGCATTGCTCACCGCTCTTCTTTTTACTCTTGCACGTTCCCAAATCCTTGGATTGTCCAAATATCATTACCCTCTGGTAATTATCCACACTTAAACAAGCCTGAAATAACATTAAAATTTATATTTATTTTTAAACCATACAAATACAACACTTACTTCATCCTTGGATCCATCCTTCTTATCAAACACATTAGGATTTAATATCCCAATAACTGTGCCCACAGGCAACTTCCACATTTCATTGTAAGCACTGCTGAAGAGAAATACTGAAACGGTTTTTAACTCGCCGTGAAGATCGCTCAAAGTCCAAATCGCGAACGGCTTTCCTTTTTGCGATGTTTTGGATAATTTATGGACTATAACACCGGCGATCACCCAGTCACTTTGCGGATTCACTCTGAGTAAGAATCTCGATACTTGACTCATGGATATCGCCTCGCGTCCGCTCATCCTTTCTTTGATCAAAGCTTGTGAGATAAGTGGCTTCACAATCCTGATTCCAAATAGAGGATCAGTAAAGACTTCTTTAGAAAGATCTGGTTTTTTCTCTGGCAAACCCAATTGGCGTTTTGAAGTCCAAGTGGACATTGCTGAGGGATTTCTTTCACTGCTGTTTCCTTCTGTTTGAAGCAATTCCTTAATTGACTTGCCACACTCATTGTACTTATACTCATGATTCCTATTTTCTTCGTCATCTGAACTATCAGTTTCACCAGCATGCACTACACTTTTGGGATCTCTAATCTTCTTTGCACTCAAGTTACTTTTTTGTCTTGATGTGCCTTGGGACTTCTCGAAGTTATCTATTGAATTCAAAAATATCTCATCCTCGTTATCTTTGCTAATTGGTTTTAAAGTTGGTGTTGGTGATTCCTCTAGCTCTTGGCATACTGAGTCTAGGAGTGAATCAATTTCTAAATCATCACTCATGTTGCACTTAACTTAAGTTGACTTGTTTTCACTACACTTTCAAAGGTTGGATTAAAGGTCCAATATTTTTAGCGCCAAACGCTGACAACTATGTTATGAAGAACTGAGAGTCTTACCAACATGAAACACTGTCAGTACTGCTGAGTACTAAATAATGATTGTACGATCACGGGGGTACGTAATACGTTGAATAGAAGGGGAAATAAGCGAGGTGCAATTAAATGCAGTTTGTAAACAACACTTACCAATCTGTTCTTAGCAATGTCGTCGTAGGTGAGGAAGGAAAAGATTGCCTCGAGAACGTTGTCAGGCAGCAGTAAAATGAAAGGTCCAATACTCATGTCTGATGGGGCCCCTGTGTCTCAAAAATATTTACTCCTTCGCCGTTTAGATTCGAGCGCCTCTAATTTCACTATTTATAATACTTCTATAAACAACAATCAACTGTTATTAAAGGACTGTGACGTATATTACTTTAAGAAATAGCAAACAGCAGCTAACAGTAATACCAACATCGGAGACATACACTCGCCCTTAGCTATGAACAAAGAAAAAAGTTGTAAATATTGTGATAAATCCTCTTAATTAAATAATTGTTAAAACCTATATTTCTGTATTTAAGATTAGAAAACAAAAAATTAATTAAAATAATCATATACATATATGATACAGACAGAACTCTATATATAGAATATGATTCAATAATCGCAGTAATTTTACAATTATATATTTATGTTATTCTTCAGTACTGAAAAACAACTCCTAAAAAGAATCTACAAGTTTTATTAATGAATTCCTTAATAAAAAAAATGCACGCCACCATCTTAACTGATGCTTAAACTTAAAGACTGACAGTACTTTCTTGTTTAATGTGCGAAATCATTTGAAAACAGCAATAAGGGCTTAAGTAATTATCTTATGGCCTTATTAAAGTAAATATTGTAATTATTTAAAAGAGAAAACTATAATGAGTATAAAGAGAAAATAATATAAATTTGAGCAATTATTCATTATGCAACCCTATTATCTTGAACATGTGATACTGGTAATAAATTTTCATTAGATTTAGGCAATTTATGTACTAACAACAGAGTATAAAGTGTTATGTTATTGAATTTAGTTATTTTTAGTTGTTATCAATTGTTATTTGAATGCTCGTGATGATACAGTGTTATGATGTCTGAATTGAAGAGTAAAAAGAGGAAATTCAACGTCGAGGGTCGCGTTTTCCAGCAGAAATGGGAGAGTCTGTACTTTTTCAGCATTGTACAGAACAAGATTCTTTGCCTCATTTGTATCAAAGAGATCACAGTGCCAAAAGAGTACAATTTACGACGACACTACGAGGCATTCCACAGGGATAAGTATGATGTTTTCGAAGGGAAATTGAGAGAGGAGAAGCTGAAGAAACTGAAATTGGATATGCAAAGGCAACAGAATATCTTCACTGTTGCCACCAAGTCCAATGATGCAGCTATCCATGCAAGCTTTGCAGTCTCGCAGATCATTGCAAAGAACTCCAAACCACATACGGATGGGGAATATGTGAAGAAATGTATGATAAAGGCAGTAGAAATTCTGTGTCCTGAAAAGGTGAAGCTCTTCCATGCCATCAACCTTTCAGCAAATGCAGTTGCTAATCATGTAAACGTTTTTACAGAAGATGAACAGCTTCAGGTCAAAGAAAAGTGTAAAGATTTTGTTGCCTATTCAATTGCCATTGAAGAAAATACTAGTGTACCTGACCATCTGCAGCTCGCTGTTTATATTAGAGGTATCAGTGATGATTTTGAGTTGGCTGTGGAACTTCTGGGAATGCTCCCATTCAATGAAAGCACCAGTGCTGATGACATATTTTCTGGGTTGCTCAGTCTCTTAAGTAAACATGTGTTGCCATGGGAAAAAATGGTTGGGTTTCTGAATGATGGAGCTAGAGTTATGATTGATAAGAGTGATAGTGTTGCTGCTAAATTTAAGAAAATTATGAAGGATTTTGAGGGATCATCTTCCTTCTTCACCATGCACTGCATATTGCATCAACATGAATTGTGTGCAAGCAGTTTGAAGATGGACCATGTGATAGATACAGTTATAGAAATAATAAATTATATTAGAGCAAGTGCCTTTACCCATCAGGAATTACTTGGATTATTAGATGAGGTGGAAAGCGAGCATAATGAGATTATTACTCGGATTTACTGGAAGCAATCAGAGCATTTTTGCATGAGGAGAACAAAACCGTTGATGATTTATGCAACGTATCCTGGATTAGCGATCTAGCATTCTTCGTTGACGTAACGGAACATATGGATAGTCTGAACGAAGAGCTGCAAAGCGTTAATAAACCAATTTCAGAGATGTTTGATTGCGTCAGCGCTTTCAAGATGAAACTGAAATTGTGGGATAATCAGCTAAAGATGAACAATCTCGCATATTTCTCGCACCTGAAATCGGTGGAAAGCAAGTGCTACCTAAATATGCAAAAGTATACTAAGAGTTTCACGTTGTTAAGGCACGAACTTGAGGAGCAATTTCAGAACTTCAGCATTGCTGAACCGGAGTTCAAATTGTTCGCGTTTCCTTTGGTTGCGGACATCCAAACGGCTCCGGATAATCTTCAGATGGAATTGATCAGTTTGCAGTGCGATTCAAAGCAGAACCAATATTTTGCCGAAATGAAATTGCACGATTTTTACTCGCAGCTTCCCAAAGACAGGTATCCTCATCTCAGGTCGTTCGGTTTGAGGATGATTGCGATGTTTGGAAGCGAACACGCGTGTGAACAATTCTTCTTTCTCGTGCACAATAATAAGAAGCGACGATCAATTGAAATTTGACGCTTTAATTTTGACACGCATATTTTTGTAAATATCAATCTTTTTATTATTTTTCGTATGAAAGCAACAATTCATAGTTTTAGCAATATTTTTATTAAAATACAAACAGCTTTTATCCTTGATTTTGTAAATAATCGTTAGATCGTTTTAAGCTTTTCTCGAAGATTGTTTAGCAGCGCTGAACATATTATGTATAGTATTACACATGTTTGTAAATAAATTAAACTTGTATTATAATTTTTTAAATTTTATTTGTCTTCACTTAGGTTAATATGATTCGTATCCAATGTAATAAATTGATTTAAGTTTCAATGTACGAAATAAACTATATACAAATAGTATATAAAATACACAATCATTTTTTTTTATAAAGGGAGAAAGAAACATTCATCGACAATTACCGATTTCCTTTCCACACTCATCTATACATAATTATATATAATTTCTTATACAATATAAAAAATAATAGTTTCTCTACTTAAACAAAAAACAAAACTGAAAAATGTATTTTATAAAATGGATATTTATTAATAAAAATTAAATGCATTCGTGCACAGCAACTTAACTCTCTTCTTCCTCCTTGTCCTTTGATTTGTCTTTCTTCTTCTTCTTCTTTTTGTCTTTCTTCACTTCCTGCAATACCGAAAAGAGAAACAAACGAATAAGATTTATGTCTGCTCGCAGGAAAATGGATGATTGTTATTGGTAAAATTAGCGGAAAACTTACAGGTTCTTCGGTAGTTTCAGCGGGCGTAGATTCTGGTGATTCCTCCTCGACTTCGGTCTTGATCTTCTTCTTCTTCTTTTTGTGTTTCTCCTCGTTTGTGCTTTCGGATTCTTCCACCGCGGCCTCTGGTCCTACGCTCATCTTGCGCTGTTGAAAAAAAAATGCATTGATTAGTATAGAGTTAAATGATGAAATGGTGGTAATAATTTACCTTCTTGGATTCATCATTATTGGTTTCACCATCAGCTGGTTCACTTTTGACGACGCTGTAATCTACGTAACTAGTCAACCAATCGCTCGGTGTGTTTTCATTCGGTTTTCCGTGCTTGTCCAATTTTCCTTGTGAGATGAGCACCTTCTTCTGCGAAGACTTTGGTCCCAATCCCCACTTTCTCGGGTAGGTGTCCCTCTCCATAATGACCCTCTTGATCTTGGCAATGACGCCATGATCGCAGCTGGCCATGGTGGATGTGGTCATCATAGCAACGGCCAGAGCGACCGCTTCTCCTTTAGTAGTAACAATGACAATCTCCTCGTTAAGTTCGATGCCATCCTCGTAACGTAATACTCCAGGTAACAGAATTTTGGCTCCGTAACACACGGCGTTGACGGCGCTGTCCTTCATGATGATGCGCTTGTGTTTCACCAAAAGTCCTTCCAACGGTCTTATCACGCGTCTCAGGTAGTTCTGATCCTTGTGATTCTCGTACAACCACATGGCATCGAGGACATCATGCATCGTAGCCATATCGTCGGCTTCCCCTTGGATACCTGAACGGACGCGACGCAACTCCAACATTTGACCTCCGACACCCAAGACAAGACCCAAGTGGACGCACATCGTACGGATGTACGAACCAGCCTCGCAGCTGACCCAAAACACACCTAAACCAAAAAACAAATAATGAATATACAATTCGCAATTAATTTTAATATATATGAAACATTACCAATATTCCTGGTATCATCGAAATCCAATAACTTGCTGTCATATACAGTCCTTACACGGAGCTGCCTCTTCACAGCGGAAATCAAGGGAGGACGTTGGAAGAGCGCTCCACGAAGCTTCTCCAAACCTTGTCCGACCTTAACCACTCCACCCTCCACTTCAGAATGCAACTTAAATACACTAACATATTCTTTTCCAGCAGATTGTTGTGATTTGACTAAACGCGTCGCTCTATCAATGCATACAATCAGGCAACCTAAAGTAAACAAAACAAATAAATAAATACAGAACAAATGTAAACAAAACATCTAACAAATTGTACCTATATAACCCAAAAGTAAAATCTCAAAGTACTGATTTTACTTGAGGATACAATCAAGGCAATTAAATTATATAAGTCTGAACATCTAACACCCTTATACAATTTTGATTTTTTTTTTGTTCAATACTTTAGGATGTTTAGGACTATGTATGTACCTGTTACTTTAGGATCTAAAGTTCCTGAATGACCAGTTTTCTCCACCTTTAAAATACGCTTAATCCAAGCCACAACTTCGTGACTGCTTGGGTTGCTTGGTTTGTCCAAATTGATGTATCCAGATTTGATGTATTCAGAGATCTCTCTCTTCAATGGTGATGCTCCAAAAGGTAAGGGGGTGTAATGGTTTGTGCGGACATTCAGATGATCAAAGTTCTAAACAATCACATGTTTTGGAAATTAGTTAATTCTTAATGGGATGCAGAAAAAGTTGTTATTTACCTTCAGAAGCAGGGGCCATTTCGATGTATCCAACTTGGCCGCAGTGGTTGACGATTCCAAATGGAAATCGTTGGCCTTTTGGATATCACCTAGTTGCTTGTCCTTCTTTTTCTTTCCTAAAAACATGTATAATATTTAACGTAAATTCAATGTTGAATGAATTACTATTCGAAATTAAGTTAATACTTATGCGATCACTTATAAATATTGCTTATTATTGTTTAAATTCATTGTTAATTTACCTATTTCTGCCATGGTCGAACTTGCTCAGAACACGTGTTTTGACTTAAAAGATAGGTTAAGGACAACAAACCAAACACACTACAAATATAGCGTGTAGCGTTAGCGTGCTTTGGTCTTTTTTCAGAAGCTTAAGTAATACCAACAAAACAAAAAATAACCTTGATTAGTAAATAAGGCTGAAGGGTTGCCAAAAAGAAAACAACCTTCAATATTATTTTTACTATTCGATTACATTTATAATAAAATGATTTTGTATAAACTTTGAAAACATGTTGAAATATTATTGCCAAACAATTGCCACTCCTTATGGTTGATGCAACCAATAGGAAAGCTTTGATTTAAAGACTATTATTAATTAGATTGTTAAGGGCCAATTGAAATTCAGTAAAATTGCTATACGAATATAATTATAAAATTAAATCTTATATAATAATGATTGTATATTAAATTCAATAAGCTTAATAAATATTTCAAATCTAGATAGCATGAACAGTGGTACATCAGTCAATGGTAGTAAATTAAATGCATTATTCTCTATGTAAATTGTATCACATATGCTCATTTATATCTTGTATGGGCTGCTTGTGGGCCAAATACAGCGTGAGGATGCTCGTCAGAGCGCTGACAAGGAATATAACGTCGAACCACCTGTGGTAGAAATTGAATTGAAGATCTCCCAATACCTGCGTGATGATCGTTCTATACTCCAAAGGCATGCTCATACGTAGCAAAAGCACCGAAGACAGAAAGTACATGCCCATGATCTGCGCCAAGACCAGAACAATGATATTCGAACTCTTGCTCGACGATATTTTGTTGAAAAACTGTAAAACAGTAACAGCAACGACAACCAAATAGTGAACGCAATTCCAATATTGTTATGTCAATTTACCTTAGTTAACGTTAACAAAAGGCCTCTAATAGAAGTGATGACAATGCATCCAACCAGAATGAAAGACACGTGCTGGGACCAAAAGTTCACGTCAATATTCAAACCCATCCAGTGGACAGCAATTTCTATTCCTCTGGTGACGATATCCTTCTTACCAACTCGATCGAAAACGATGTTGATCGTACACTGAAAAACCAAACTTTTCAATACAGATCGCATTCCATCAAAGAAGTTTAACTAACAATAAAGATTTTCCATAAACAATACAGCGAAAAGAAGTATCCCAAGAAGTTAAAGTATTTTCCTTTCCACGTGTTCGACCATTCGATCCTCTCGAGCATATTGTGATTCTCGTGCGCCTCCAGAAACAATTGCCTACTCAGTTCCTCCAAACCGGAAATTTCCAGTTTCAATTGAGATATATCTGAAAGTGGATAACATATCTCATTGTTCTAAGACTTGTATATATCAACATCAAATGAATGAAATTATCTTAATTGTAACGTGACCTATGAGATCATCTTAACCTTCAGTTAACGCAATATTTTAAAGCTGCATACTTTCTTGACTGCGTTTCGGCCCAACCGAATACAGCATCCCCCATATTCCTTGCTTCTTGTCAGCGTCGGAAGATGCGCCCTTCTCTAAGCTCTGCTTTTTGGACATGGCAATCCTTTTCTTCTTCATAACAATCATCTCCATTGTTTGCATTAGCCTCTTCTCTGTAGTAGCAACATCTGCTGGCGACACTTCCCTAAACAATTGTAATTACTTCTTTTATTATTAAATATAGTTTTTGTAATGCAACCTTATGAAATAGGACATTGATGTGTAAGGATAGTTGACAGCACCAAATCCTGAGAGCAGGGCCATAACCGTCACCCCGATAACGCCGATTCGCGAGACCAACTGTTCCATTGACAAAATCCCCTGCTTGGGGTTCAGGATTGGGAACGGATCACCGATTTTCCAAAAGATGATTAAAAATAGGATCCAAACAAACACTGTTAAATATTTGATGTAGTGTGCTTTCACTGAAACATAATCAAGTTATCCAAAAGTGTTAAAAACAAATAATAACAGCTGATTACCAAAGCTGATGTTGCTTATGCAACAATAAGAAATATAAAATGGATTGAGTACAATGACAACAAATAGGAGGGAATAGAGCACAATGCACCAGTAGAATGATCTGGAGCTATAAAAAAAAATTGAAACATTATACAGTTTTCCAATTGGATTATCTATGCTCACCTTGCTTCAAGCCAATTCAAAATTTCGAAAATGATCAGTTCAAACATTGTGCAAGAAATCATCAGAGTCACAGAGAATATCAGGTACACCAGGATATGTCTGATCTCGTAATCTTTGAACAGTTGTTTCAGGAAGAACAGTCTCGCCCCCATAAAGAATATTACCTGAAACGATCGACAATATAAAATGCGACCTATTTATATGTTTAATTTTTTATACCTGCGAGACCAAAATCACCAACGTATCCTCGTAGAAACCCATCTTCGCTACAAACTCTAATCTACAAGTATTAGCAAAGGATATTTCACGTAAACATATTTACGTTCCGGATTCCTCCACACACACATAAAGTAACTCGATGTTTGACATAAGTTTAAAAAATATTCCTAGGTTAGGTAATAATGTCACATATAATAAGAAATGCAGGCAACTAATTGTACGTGCATGATTTGAAGTCACATAGGGTTGATACATTTAACGACACGTTAAATCTTAACTGGAAATTAGTTTTCAAATTGGATTTTTCATTGTATTCTTTTGTAAGATACAAATTCACGTAGATGAATTATTATAAAACTGTATACAATTTTCTTACATAAATCAACAATACACGTTTCTATAAAATTGTTTGATGATGATGATGTTGATAATAATAATATTTAATTAGCATTGAAAAAGTTCAATGTTGAGGCCTTCGCATTATTTATTAATTAGTTACATTCGAATCTCGAATGAAAAGAAATTCAGTTTCTTGAGAATCTTGAGACAAATTTTGCTTGTGTCGAACATAAATAAATAAAATCTTCAAATACTGACCATGTAGATTCTTTTTTTTGTAGGGCAAAAATAACTAACGCGAGGTTAAAGCAAATCAAGCAAGTTTTGCCGTGGATCATGTACAAAGATACAGCAAAAAAAAACAACAACGCATTTAACCTTCGCGTTTTATGCAAATCCGTTGATTTTTCTATTTTTCAATTTAAATACATAAAAGATTGAGCATTCATTTTTTAACCACTTTTTTTTTCAATTAATTTTCTGTAACATTTAAGTTACAATTACATTATTATATAATATTGTATTACTCAATATATAATTAACTTTTAAAAATATATCTACAAGTTATTTTTTGTTTCGTTTATAGAAACAAGTAGAGTTGAAGGTGTTAAATCTAGGCCTAAAATTGAATTGAAAGCTGTAATCGAATCGACATATTAAACTAAATACTATTTATAGGAAACTTTTGCGCACTTTCACGTTTATCAGCATTATTCCAATTCTTGCGTATTTCATCACAGATAGCGCAAATTTACGCATACATTTGTTGATAAAGCTATAAATATTATTGGTGCTAATTATATAAGTAATATAATCTCAATACTTTTTTTTTGGGCATGAACCAATTCGCACTTAATTATTTCATATTTTATCGTTTATTTTCATTGACTCAATTACATTTTCAATGTATTTTTTTAAAGAAAATTCTTCAGTTATATCCATTCAAGTATTTAAATGTGATTATAAATTATTGTTTAATTACAAAATTAAAGTTTACAAAATAATTTATTTCCTGATATATTTCAACACTTTGGAGTCTAACAAATTATAAACAAACAAATACACAAAATAGTTAAAATATTTTGGATACAATCGTATTCCAACAATTGATCATCAATTGGTGACGAGTTTTTCAGTGGCTCAAATCTAGTGAAAATTAAAGTATACAATTGTATTTGCTTTATTGACGATGTGTCCGCTCATTATAGAACACGTGGCAGAAAATCAATTGATAGCCTTGGATTCAGTAGTGTCGATTGGAGACGGACGATAAAAACGGAAATATTATCAATTTGCACAATAATCTTAAGATTTAACAGAGAATTAGAGCTAAATGACAAACGATGAAACAATACTATTTCATACGTTTTAACGAGTAAATACTTAGCTTTAATTTGGTTGGTCGAAAATTAATTTGTCGAGTATAATTTTTGAGATATGTGCAAAAATGAAAAGACTGTTTTTTTTTAAGTTTAAAAAAATGTTTCTTCAAGTTTGACAGAGAGTTACAGCTAAATGACAAATGATACAACAATACTATTCATACGTTTTAACGAGTAAATACTTAGCTTTAATTTTATTGGTCAAATATTAATTTGTCGAGTATAATTTTTGAGATATGTGCAAAAATAAAAAGACTGTTTTCTTCGAAGTTTCAAAAAATGTTGCTTCAAGTTCGACAGTGAGTTACAGCTAAATAACAAATGATACAACAATACTATTTTATACGTTTTAACGCGTAAATACTTATCTTTAATTTGGTTTGTCGAAAATGGATTTGTGGCGTATATTTTTTGAGATATGTGCAAAAATGAAAAGACTGTTTTTTTTAAGTTTAACAAAATGTTTCTTCAAGTTTGACAGTGAGCTACAGCTAAATGACAAATGATACAATAATACTATTTTATACGTTTTAACAAGTAAATACTTAGCTTTAATTTGAAATATTTTAAGTTTAAAAAAATGTTTTTTCAAGTTTCATAGTGAGTTACAGCTAAATGAGAAATGATACAACAATACTTTTTTTTTACGTTTTAGCTTTAATTTGATTGGTCGAAAATCAATTTGTCGAGTATAATTTTTGAGATATGTGCAAAAATGAAAAGACTGTTTTCTTCGAAGCTTAAAAAAATGTTTCTTCAAGTTTGACAGAGAGTTACAGCTAAATGACAAATGATACAACAATACTTTTTCATGCTTTTTAACGAGTAAATACTTATCTTTAATTTGGTTTGTCGAAAATGGATTTGTGGCGTATACTTTTCGAGATATGTACAAAAATGAAAAGACTGTTTTCACAGCTAAATCACAGCTAAATGACAAATTATACAACTATACTATTACACACGTCCTGGACACTATTTAAGTAGATAACTACTTGCGGAATACAGCATAAATTTGATGACATTATGAAATTGTTTCGATAAAAAAAACGATACTAACAACCAAATGTTTTGATCCGTTCCATAATTTATTTCCGTATTAACCTTGTTGCACATTCCTCTAGCGGTCATTTCGACCGATATCCGAAGCCAAAATAAAAAAAAAAGGAACTGAGGAGCTGCAAGCAATAACCGTATCAAGGATACCCGAAAATGAATTGCTTTCTCATATTCTCCTTGAAGACTTCACTTTTTTTTTGTTGTTTCCACTGCGCGAATGAATTTCGTTTCGTAGTTTACGTAAAAGTACATAGAAACAACGCTGTTTCATCTGTTAGCAACACAAGAAAACCATGACAATTTGCAATTTGTTTATTTATTTTTAGAAAAATCAGATTTTAATTGGTTGAAGTACATAGAAACAACACTGTTTCAACTGTGTTAGCAACAACAACAAACCATGGTAATTTATTTATTTACTTTTTTTTTGGTAACATAATAATAAATATTTGAATTTTACTTTTGTTTCAATAGAAAGTGGTCGTGAGTGGAAACAACGCAAATAAATTTTTCAAAACTTCATTTGAAAATATCACGTTTCGTCGATGTAATTAAATAATAAAAAAATAAGTTAATTGAGTTTTGTTTTTCTAAATTATACTTTTTTTTTTCCTCTCTGAATAATTAATATTATTTACAATGTTAGCAAATAAAATGATGTCTTCTTTTTCTCAACATTTTTGCATAAATTTTTCAAATGTATGCAAGCAGAGACCAGTTTTTTTTGTATGCGAATACTTCAATTAAAAGCGACGTCTTCATAACGAGAAACTTATGCAAGAAATAATGTAATTTATAACAACTTTATGAATTATGTTGACTTAAGTTTATTATATATTATACATGTTTGTGTTCCAATTATTTAATATTGGAAATAGATTCGTTTTTTTAAGAATGTTTAATTAATGATGAAGAAAAATGTCATTGGACTGTGTTTCCATTTTTTTTATAATTGAAAAAATCGGCCTTTGTTAAAATTAATTTAATGCTTGATTTGTTGTGTTCACTGCGAAACTGTAAATCTCTCAATCGATGTTATTAGTCCAAGGATAATTAAGATATTCACTTTGAATTCACATTCATATAAACGAAAAGAAATAAAAAACAAATCGACTTGGAAATAGCTATAATTTATTGTTTTTTTTTTGTAGAAAATTGTTTAATCAGTTTATTGTATAATACTGGGAAATTGAGAAGAAAAATACTTTGAATAAAATAATGATAAAAATTTGATTTCTGGAATAGAAATAGAAATGAGAAATTTCTTTAAAAAAAAAGTAAATGCGTAAATTTTTGTAATAATTTACAAAATAAAGAAATAATCTGAAACTAAATGATTAACTTGAGTTTTGTTATTTGTGTTGTTATTATTTCGGATGTAATAAGCAAACATTGCAAAACGCTTATCGCCAGGAGGCAGATGAAATCTGACGATCTGACACGCTCCGAACTTGAACAGAAATATTGTTTTGATTTCTGTAATTTTGCAAATTATGATGCGTGCGTTTCCTCAAAATCCAATCAATCAACTCACACGTCCAAATGGAAAAACTGATAAGTGCAGATAGAATTCGAACGAATTACTAATTGGGATCAAGTCCGTGGGAATTCCTCTTTTTACAGAATATCCAGTTATTATTCATTCTGTTGGGGAAAGTCGGGGTTTCCTGATTACATTACATTTTTATTTTGCACAAATATAAATTCCGGTTCTTCATTATGTTATAAATATAAAGTAATACTTCGCATAGTGCGGGTAAGTTATTCCGTCAATATCTAGCACTGTTTGAAACCGGATTAATTGAGGAATTAAATAAAGCACACACAAAAAGATACCTAACTTATAAAAGAGAAAACAGAATTTGTGCACCTTTTTTTACAATTTATTTTTCTAAATTAAAATTTAGTTTGTTTGAAATAAAAATCATACGTGAATTAATCAATATTTAAATCGTTTTGTCTGCTGATTCAACTGTAAGTAGAAATAAAGAGGTTTTTAGATGATACAATTATTTTTTTAGCAGAAATTGTTCATTATTTGATTGTATAATTGAATCTTGACTTGAAAATTGATTGTATTTAGCTGAAATCGTATATATTTTTTTTGAACTTATTAGTGTTTTATTGAAGCTTTTCAACTGAAGTTTCCTTATTTCTTCTGGTACAATTAAATTGTGTTTGCAGTTCACTTCACATTCGTGTCCAAAGAAACCATTGTTTGAAGGTTATTTACAGAAATGTCTAATTGGAGATGGTTTGTGGAAGGTCTAAAGTTTCTTCATTTCATCCTGTACAATTGATTTACAATTGCAGTTCATTTCCTACAACAATTTTCTCTTAATGGAATTTTTAAATAAAATTGCATATTTCTCT